GCTTCTCTCTCATGCTTAGGCACCACGAGGCAGGTGGACACAGTGCCTTCAGATTTGGGCACGCACCTTTATAACACACTCCCCCTGAAGGGATTGTCGGTTGCCTCTAAGTCCTTGACAATATTCTTCAGGTCGGGGTCCTTGAGTTGGTTAATGCGTACGTCGTCAGGCGTTTTATGTGGAATATCTACTGTCACTAAGCATACCTCGCAACCATCTGGGTTTTCTTCGCAACAGGCTGGCTAGTTCAGTGCATCGGCAATCAAATTCACCTTTTCGGGAGTGTACTGGATCTGCAAGTAATAGGCCGGAAGGGTCAATGCCCATCTAGCGAGGCTTCCGGTGGGGGACTTAAGGCTCATTAGACATAGCAGCGGCTGATGGTTGGACTTCCAATCCTTCTACGTAACCCCTGAACTTTCTAACTGCCCAGACGACGGCAAGAGCCTCTCGCTCGGTGGTGGTGTAGTTCCGCTCGGCTGGCGTTAGCAAACGGCTGCCATACAGAGAGGCTTGGACTCGTCAGACTGGCGAAAAATGGGAGTGGTGTCTAGAAGCACTTTGCACACACACACACACATACACACACATACACATCTCAAACTGCTGTTCTTCTTGAGCAGGTCGGTCAAACGCTTTTCGATTTCAGCGTAATTCGGCACAAAGCCTCGAAACCAGCTGGATATTGCCAAAAAAACCCTTAAGCTATCTTTCGTTCTTCGGGACAGACACGTCAGAAATGACCGAGGTTTTCTCTGGGTCTACGGTCTACTCGCAGCCCATCAGGAACGATAATGTGACCGAGGAACTTCACAGAATCATTGGCGAAGCAGCTTTTCTTACGGTTGATCGTGGCGCCGGAATTGGCGCCCCTTAGCATCCTTTGAAAGCTAAAGGTGCCTGACGGTGTAACGAGAGCGGTTATGTCGCGATCTTCTTCTGCAGCACAAACCTGGTAGCTTCCGCTGCGTGAAGCACGTCTTCGTCACGTTATATGATGATCATCCCTGAAGTATGTTCTATTAAAAAACAAGAATCATCAATATCGGTTCACAAAGACGAAAATATTGCGTAACATACGGTTCAAAAACAAAGAAATAAAACATACCAGTTAAGTCGATTTGTAAGCCTCCTTTTTTGAAGTTGGCTAAAAACAACACTGAACCCGTAACAAATATGACATGTGTAGTGGCTTCTGTGACGCCAGCAAAGGGAGCTTTGCAAAAAAAAAACTGACACACTGTACTATGAACACTATATTATCAATGTTAGACTTCTTCATAATTTATCGAGCTTAAGGGGAAATATAATCTCAAATGGCTTAGCAAGATCCTCCGTTATGCCGAAAGTATTGCAGCATTAATTTTGAAATAAATATATGGTAAAGTTGAGGATTAATGTTAAGGACTATGTTAGACGAAAACACGATTCCGTAAAATTTTCTCGATAGAAAAAAAATCCAAAGTTACCTCCAAACTGAACAATAAACCGCTGTTATTCATAAAATACTTTAAATAAAGATCATGAAACTTTGCATACTAACTGAACTAACTACAAAGCAGTGCTTATGTTATTTACTTTTTTTTAAATACCAATATTTTCACTGTAAAAAGAAATTACCTAAACTATCGGCGCGTATGCTTTGTCGCCCCGTTAGTAGACGTGGGTCGTTACGTCATTTTCAAGAAACGTAACGAAACCAGTGACTTGATCGGCATCACTTGTTTCAAAACTAGTGATTTTTGTAACTGGCTATTTTTATTCGGCTACTGTGATTGTTTGCATAAATATCACCACCAACTATACAGTTACACACGAAACGAAAATAAATTTAATCACAATCTGTGTTTGTAGCTATACAGTAACTGTATACTGTTAAATCAATAAATTAACTTCCCTTCATACTTTATTCAGGTTTAGAACAGACTGCATTAAATGTATTTATACAAGATTAATGATTTGCGTTTACTATGACACTGATATTTTCATAAAATTATTAATGCAGGCATATTTACAAGTCAATTTGATTGTATATACAATGATTATGGATATTTACAGTTTATTTACACTTTTTCAACGTTTTCACTGTCGTTTGTTTTTGCAATTTTATTTACACTGTACAATTAATTTGTTTGTTTGTTTGGCTATTTTTAAGTTTTATAATATTATAAACATTTAAATTTTTTATACACATTTTTTAGTTTTATTTTAATTTTATGATTAAACGAGTTCATGACTCCGTCAAAAATGTTTTAAAAATTATTTTAGTTAAATTCAATGTGACTCGCTTCCCGGAATCACAAACCGTTGAAAATATTTACAAACAGAGATTACACTATTTTATTGTCTATGTCTATAGTCTTACGTATGAAAATTAAACGTACAGTAAAACTGTTACTTACGATGGTTTGTTTATTGTTGTATGCCACATGTGCGCTTTGCGCTCGAGCGACCGACACACCGACAGTCGACTCCCGCAATAATCATGGTTAACAGTAATCATAATCACGCATTTACAAAAAACACTACTTGTAACATGACTCGAAACTAGTGATTCGGTTACATGCCGCGTAGCCAGTTACTGTATCTACTGACGTGAAATAACGCTCACGTCTAGCCGTTAGTATCGCTCCGGCTTTTGAAGGGAGAAGTTGTGTCGCTTACGATCAGAATAAATATTACGTAACAGGACGATGTAAAATTAAAATGGGAAATAACCGTGATAAAAATAAGAAGCGACTGGGTTGGCGTTAAGAAACAGGCATAAAAATGATAAACCTAATGCAATAAGTACCTAACGACCTATCTACTTACAGTATTAGTGTTTACAAACATGTCGGTACATAGCATACGACGCGCGGGGAAGTGGGGACGAAATTAGAATTTGAGCTGACTTACTCTATCCTCTTAATACTATTCGGCGCCGACGTAACGAAACGAACGGGCTACCATTATGCGAGGCGTGTGCCGACCACAAGTGCCGATTGCCAAACTCACTCGGTAGCGGATAGCGGGGAGGTTTATCCTTCGTATCAGTGCGCGTAGTCGCGTTCGAGCACGGTCCAGACTGCCGCGAGGCGGCGCGTATATGTTCTACATAAAAAAAAATCATACCAGTGCGCGTGCACGACGCGACGTCGCGGATGAGCCTTGACGCGACGGCACATGTATGTTCTGTACAAAAAATCGTAATAGCGTGCGTCGTCGCGGGTGCGGTGTACACGTGTTTATTATATTTTGATTATTTTGTTAAACAATTCTTCCATAAAAGATAAAAGTTATCGAAGAATTATTGATATTACCTAATTTTAATATGTTGTTGCTCTAAAAATAGGGAACCTAACTTTTACCAAATACAAAAAATCTAAGTTAAGGAGAGCATAAAGAAAACTTTTGAACAAATCAAGTTTCAGTGTTTAAACATAGAACAAGTATTTATGCCATATTATCCTATACCTTTAAATGAGCAATTCTTGAATATATATATATATATATATATATATATATATATATATATATATATATATATATATATATATATATATATATACATAATCGGAATCTCGGAAACGGCTCCAACGATTTTCATAAAATTTTGTGTGCAGGGAGTTTCGGGGGCAATAAATCGATCTAGCTAGGATTTATTTTTAGAAAATGTCTTTTTGTCCGTGTTTTTAGGCAATGAAAAACTGCTACAATATCTTTAGAATAAGAAGGTAAATTTTGACAGATTATTGATGATTACAAATAGCTTAATTGGTATATAGGGCGGTCACAAAATCGTAATACCGTGGTTGGAGCCCAGACCGACCGGCCGATTTTTTTTTAATTTTTTTTTCAAGTTCCTTTCTTTTTTTGAGAAAATCTATTTTTTCGAGCCCTTTTTTTAGTATTTTTTAAAAACACGAAAATTTAAATTAAACTAATTGCACTCATGATTTTTTATTCAAATAACCAGTTCAGTTTTTTCTATTATGTCGCTAAGATCAAAAAAATATTATTCGTATTTCATCAGTATGTAATTTGTATCTAAATATAATTTCCAAAACTCACGAATTAAAAAAAAAACGAGCAAAAAATACCGAGCAAAGCTCGGTCAACCGGGTACTGATTTATTAATGTGATCAACACACAAATAGTAACGTCCCCTGCTGAAATCAAATCTTACAATTTGTGATGCCGGTTGACGCATTCTTGAGGATGCAGCGGGTTAGAAAAAGCCTAATTAAAAAGAAGTGCATACTTTCTCCTTCATCGGTCATGGACATAGGCCTCCTTCGTTTGTAGGCAGGACTTGTCATGATCGTTTGGTAGACGCATTGGCGAACGCAATTTCAGAAGTCATCTGTGGCATCTTTGGCGCTGCTTCCCGTTACCGGTTTGGGTGTTGTACGTCAGATTAAACAAAATGGTTATACCGCCATATGTCAAGAACTTTCAGGAGTTTTCCATATTTGCCTTTTGCGAGACAGACACACGGCACGATATGCGCTGAAGGATTCTCTTACGCCCCCACTTCTTGGCAGCGACGTTATTAAAGTAAGCTCATTAATTTGGGAAAATATATTAACAAGCCAAAGTTAATTAATGTATATTCAAAGTTAATGTATTATGTAAATGGTCTCTAAGGGACTATAATACAGATTATTATAAGTAATTCTTTAATAATATAATAAATGTTTGCCTGTAGCCAAATTCCATTCGACATTAAACTTCGGAAATACCTACATAATAAAATGTAAATAAGCAAAATATAAAATATAATGGGCTTTTTAATATTATAAATGTTTGGCAACACATGTTTTATTTTTAATTTTATTTGGTTAAATGCTTAACCACCAAAAAAACAAATAAATAAAGTAATATTGCTAACTTGATATTGTCTAACTATTTTGTTATTTTAGGTTATTGAAATGTTAAGTTTATATAATGGTGAATTTTTAATATTATATATAATTTTTAATAATATATTATAAAATCAATGAAGTTATTGCTTTCAGGGTATGATTCGCAGAGACAATCTGACGATTACTCCCGAGTTGAACCTCCCTGATAATGTATCGACAACTATGACTGTGGGTCAGTTTGGTCATTGGTTGTCAGGCGTCCTCCGGAAAAATAGCTCATCTTGGCTTCATTACAATATGGCTTCTCTGTATTGGCGGGTGAGAGGTAATGCACCTAAGGCAATGGAGTGCAGTCGTCGAGCTATACATTATGCACCAAGGTTAATGGCTTGAAAAGTATAATGACTTTTATTACAGTTTAAGTTGCAGTAATACTGTTAAATTCTATGCACTTATCGACTTAGTTTGCCGTGTAAAGTTGAAGTAAATTAAGGATTTACCTGAACAGCCCAAACAGTCCACAGCTGGTGTAAACCCCACGAATTAAAAGTAGAGCTGGGTTTCTTCCTGGTTCCTTCCAGGATATAAGCTTTTTGGAACCATTTGTAAAAGCATACTTAAATGATTTCGACAAGTATTACTTGTAATATACAGGGTTATTTTTTTTAAAGTAGCCAAATTTTAAACTTAAGTTCAAATATACATAGTTATTGTAGTTTTTGAAAATATGAGCAAATAAGGCTTCTACTTTTATTTAAAATTATCCCAAATTCAATGTGGCTAGCGTGTGCAGTAAAATCGGTTCAAATAATCCATTACCACGCATTTTGAATTTAAAAGATAAAAAGAACAGAATGTTTAAAAAAAATAATTAATTTTTTTAAACCTTTTGCCTATATTATTTATTCTAAACCTTATCTGCAAATTTGGCCAGTTATTGCAAAATAACCCTGTATATTGAAATAAAGTTAATCCATTCAGATATTTTCTTTTTGACAGATTTTGTGGTTTATATTTTGGATATAATTTTTTTATAGGACAAGGTGACAAACGAGCACACAGTCCACCTGATGGTAAGTGGTTGTTGTGGCCCATAGACATCTACATCTATCCTCGATTACGAATCAAAATGCAGATGCGTTGTCACCCGTGAGGACTAAGATGGAATGTCCACCTGATGGTAAGTGGTTGTTGTGGCCAATAGACATACTACTACTACTACTACACTATACTACATCTATCCTCGATTACGAATCAAAATGCAGATGCGTTGTCACCCGTGAGGACTAAGATGGAATGTCCACCTGATGGTAAGTGGTTGTTGTGGCCAATAGACATACTACTACTACTACTACACTATACTACATCTATCCTCAATTACGAATCAAAATGCAGATGCGTTGTCACCCGTGAGGACTAAGATGGAATGTCCACCTGATGGTAAGTGGTTGTTGTGGCCAATAGACATACTACTACTACTATACTATACTACCTCTATCCTCGATTACGAAACAAAATGCAGATGCGTTGTCACCCGTGAGGACTAAGATGGAATGCCTCGTTTCCAGTAAAAAGGGTCCAGTAAAAAGATATTTTAATTGTTTACTATTTTTCTTTCAGTATTCAGTAGACACCAAAAATAAATGTGTTATTTTATTTCAGAGAATACAAGGATATAGCGCTATTAAGCATGGGAACAATATTTCATCTCAGCAAAATGGCCGAAGACGCTCTAATAGTTTTGAATGCAGCCGTTGACCATAATTCAAATTTTTATTTAAGCCACTTCCAACTTGCGAACACTTATGCGGTGTTGTGTGACTTCAATAATTCCAATAAGCATTTAGACCATTGTCTGAAGTTAAACCCTAATTTTGATATCGCTGTTAAGCATAAACATGGGGCCATGTGCCTTGCAAATATATGGAAGAGGTTACTAGTCGTGAAAGTGTAAGTTATTTAATGTAGCTTTAATAAAATTAAAAGGTTGAGTAAGCCGTACCTTTGTAAGTGGTATTTCTGGGTGCAGGCCTTTTTTCATTTCGAAAGTATCTGCCGCTCGAATAACTAAACGAGCACACAGTCTATCTGATGATAAGTGTTTCCAGTAGAAAGGGTCTCCAATTCTCTACACCGATATTCTACGCTGATATTATGTAAGAGCCAGATCCTTCCTCAGTCTAGAAGACCCCCTACAAGCATAACATAGCTACATCATGACTATCACGTGAAAACACAACACTTCTCAAAACATAAGTTTCCTCATACAAATACGAGCAGGTGGTAATTCAGCACTGCAGTGATCACGAGAGAAATAAGTATGAGGGTGGCAAGTAGATATTATAAAAATTGACAGACCACCAATGCTTTCTTGACGTTTAGAAAACTCTGCATGCCATAAATAATACGTCATGTGATACGTCATGTGAATTCGGACTGATTAATTTTTAACTGAATATAAAGTAAAACTACAGAAAGTAAAAAAATAAAAAATTAAATATAAGATCGGAGAAAAAGTTTCTTCGTATTTATATACAAATTCAAGACTTTTTTTCAAAGGAGACGGTCCAAAATTGTTTGAAACGTAAGCCTGGTTTTATACAAGTAGGGAAATAAATTAAAGTAATATATTATACCACGTCATTCAAATCCACGAATTTGGCTTTATTTCAGTGGTGTTAATATTTTATTCTTACCAAAAAATGGCGAATTGTTGTCGTTTTGATGTTAGCTGTCGACTGTCATGAGGTTATTGATCAATTTATTGACATATATTTGAATTCTGAAATGCTGAATGAATATCAGGTAGGTTTATTATGTACAATGGCTAAAATATCTCGAAACTAATATGATTCAAAATGTGATTCTACATATATCAGATATCAACAAAATCAAAATCATCAAGTCCATAAAACAAAAGCCGAGTCAAACAAGTAGTAACAGATCCAAAGTCCAAATAAAAAAATCAAATCATCAAAGAAATCCAAAAGCAACTCAATAAATTTATTCACGACTTCACAATTACACGAACAAGTTCGGAAGAAACAAAAAAATATCACACTAACTACATTATTTCATGACTCAAGTCACTTGTTAGACATGACATTTGACATATAATTTTATGACTGGAAGGGCGCCATCTTGTAAAATTATCAAAAATTAGAATTGCGTTTTTATTTTTAGCAAGTAATTTAGTTTGATTTATTCTCTTATTTTTAATAAAATCCCTGAATTTTTCGCTTTTTTACTGTATAGTGTACATAGAAATGGACCGTTTCCTTTTAATTATAATATATAATATGTGCCATTTTGTTCGAAAACTGGTTGCCATCATGTAGGTAGTGACATAATCCAGTTACTGTAGAAATCTTGGGATTTTTGATCAAAAACTTGCGACAAGTAGTTTTGACAGTCCTCTCTTGATGTTAACCTATCACTACCCAAAGAATTCTGAAGAGACCGAAACAGGTGAAAATCTGAGTGGGCAAGGTCAGGACTATATGGTGGATGCATGTACACTTCCGAACCAAGCTTTTTCAGTTATTGCTGAGAGGCCAAAGATTAGTGTGGTATGGCGTTATCATGATGAAAAATCACTCCTTTACTGTTGATCAATTCCGACCGGATTTTTTTTTCAATTTCTTGCTTGAGTCTCATTAGTTGTTGGCAGTAGAGATCCGAATCGATGGTTTTGCCCGGCGATAAAAGCTACTATATAAAGGATACTCCAATCCCACCACGCACAGCATCACCTTATTGTGAGGTAATCCGGGTTTCGCTATAATCTGTGGAGCTTGACTACCCTTTGACCATGATCCTATTTCGCACGTTTTTGTCGTAGATGATCCACTTTTCATCACCAGTGATCATTCTTTTTAAAATGATTCGGTTTCGTTATGTTTTAATAGAGAATCGCAAATGAGTACACGTTTCATTAGGTTTCTTTCAGTGAGCAGTAAATATCGATTTTTTTTTGTATAGCCAGACTTTTTCAAATGAGTCAAACTGTTTTGTGGTCAATCCTCAATTCCTTGGCTATGTCCATGGACGTATAAAAAAGGCGGACTGATTTTGTCAAGAAAGGGTTGACGCACTGCAATGGCGGTGCAAGTATGTTTGCGTGCTATAAAGGATTGTCATGTGAAACAAAATTTCCCTATTTTTTTTATAAAACAATCTGTCAAGACATAACATAACTTTGACGAAATTATACTAATTTATTATTACTTAACTAATATAAAGAACAAATTTGACGATTAAAAAAATCTAAGAATTTAAGATTAAGATTTTGATTAAAATCGAATAATACTATTTCGATCGCTTAGGTGTAATAAAAACCTATTGATTTCGATTAATTTTATTACAAATATTGTATAATACAAAATTTTTACTATATAATTAGAACGGAACATGTAGGAAAATGGGCCGTGGTAGCTCAAATGGTTAACGCTCGCTGTAAATGTAACAGAACGCGAGTAACCCGGGTTCGATCCCCGCCGGCACCCATGAAATTGTTAATTGCAATTTTAAGTGCTGATTTACCACGTGCTCGGCGATGAAGGAAAACATCGTGAGGAAACCTGCATGTCTGAGGAATAAGAAAAAAAATATTTTCGAAGACATGTGAAGTTCGCCAACACGCATTGGGGCAGCGCGGTGGACACTTCCTTGCCCTAAAACCCTCCCAGAAATGAGGGGAGGCCTGTGCCCAGCAGTGGGACGTATATAGGCTGTAACTTTACTTTACTTTATGTAGGAAACCGAATAATGGTTTACATAACATAATAAGAACGTTAACAAAATATTAGACGTGATGGTGATACTTAATTACTAATGATGATATAGATTCTTTTTACCATTAATAGGGAACCCAAAAATGATTACAATGGAATAGAATAATTTTAATTCAATACAGCATACAAGAATACTTATTGAAAGTCATTTAAGCTTTACCACTAGTCGGGAATAAACTGTCCTGGAAAGAACCATCAAGAAATCCAGCGGGACGTTTTTTAAATAAAATTGATTTAAAATATATTACTTTAGAATTAGTATGAAAACATATGGTAGCGATAACCTCATTTTCAGAGGTTATTATCAATTATGTGCTCTTTAATAGTATACCCCAATAATCATAACAAAACAATTTTTGCTTAGTAAAAATTTTAAACTTTGATAGATAAAGTCTGCATATTTTTTGGGTATTTGATGTGAAAGCATATACATTGACCAATGAAAGAATTACTGGCTCTTTTGAGTCGAGTAACTGGTGTAATAAACTTGTGCTTGTTCCTAGCATTTTTTTAAAAGAATATTAACAATGTTGTAAACATTACTAATATTCCCCTTAACCACTCGTGGTAAGCTTACAGAATGTATATCATTATTTTTAATAAAACTAAATTAATAATAAAGCATTTTCATTTAAGTCATAAAATTCTCAAATAAGTGATTATAATTATTGACTTACCAATGAAATGTTATTCCTTGATGTTTTTTTATAAAACCACTATGATTTTTGCAAAATTTAAAGACGCAAGACGGCATATTAAGTTTTGTTTTTACTTACGACAATAACTTCACGCGGACGACATTTGTTGCGTAAAGGCGGGCGATAGACTTATTATTAGTGTGAATGTTGTGTGACTCCTTGTACGTACAAGAGAGCTGACTTATTTTGGCTGCTTCGCTGAGTTGTATAGCGGGATTCTGCTCGCCTTTTTTATACGTCCATGGCTATGTCGTGACTACTAATATGCCGACCTTGCTCCACTTTTTCAAAAATGGCATCGACTTTATGCGTTTGTTACTTTTTCTTTTTCTTAATGTCCTATATGTATTGATATGAAAACCAGCTAGATACAAACAGTACAACCAAAGATATTTTTCTTCATTTTATAAAAACAAAACACGAAGAAACTTTCCCCAATCTATTATATACCTGATAATTGATGGGAAATAAAAGTTCTCCAGTGGCAGCTTCGCACCGGTAAATGGAGTTAGGACGGACCCTCCACTAGATGAAGTGACGACTATGTCTAATGCAGAAAGTCTGTATATGCATGTGGCGCAGGATCTACTTATTTAATTTTTTGTTGTTTGTGTAATATAAACATATTTTTCGTTATAGAGCTGCAGCTATATTATGATTGTAGCAGCAATGGGTGGCCCTCACAGTATACCACTATGAAAAAGCAGCTTAGTGCTGCTATGTTTCGTATGGTGAGAAGGTATACAGAATCAGCGATCTTGTTAACTGGGAACTAGGTACTCCATCTTAGTCCTCAGGGGTGACAACGCATCTACGTTTGATTCTTAATTGAGGATTTACATCTAAATGTCTAAAGGCTACAACATCCAATTACCAGCAGGTGCACTGTTAGCTGGTTTGTCACCCTTATACTATAAAAACTAATAACAATGTTTGTTGTTTACAGTGCATTAAATAAATTACGTAATGAGCTCTCAGTGTATACCCAAAAGGAAGCTCAACTGCTCAAATCACAGAGTTTACTTTTAAAAGGAATGAAACATGAAGAGGAATATGGTAACATTGTTTTTTTTTGCTGTACTTAAAATTGTTATTTTATTCCAGGGGGCTGAAAAAAGTACTAAAAATAACACAATTTAAGCGTTTTTTTTAACATATAAATTTACATAATAATACATTAAACACTAATGCCTGTCACCCAGAGGGATCAATCACGATCCCGCCACACTTCTCTCGCCTTCTCCCACATTTACGAATACATGGTTAAGAGTACTCTTAATTGTTCAATATATCGCCAATTTGGTCCATAAACTTTCGTCTATGGACGTCCCTTCCATAATCTGCCGTTCACTTCTGTAACACAAAATTGCTTTGTCACTTTCCTCGTTCTTTCTTCCTACATGAACAAACCACTGAAACATTATTTTCTTAATCCTGGTCATAAAATCATCTTGCGAACCACATTCTTCTCTTAGCACACAATTTCTCACCCTATCACTCAGATTCAGCCCTAACATATTCCTTAATGAACGCATTTCTACAGTATTTATTCTACTCATGTGTCATTGCGAATTACTATAAGTGCCTTTTTTGAGAAATTCTGACTTCCCACAATAGAGTGCCCAAGTAACACATCAAAGCAGTATAACGGCCGACATGCAGCATTTCTGTATCGTTTTTTCATTTTTTCATCAAAACCACAAAATATGTGGCATATTTTATGGTTTTGATATAAAATGTTATATAAAGCACATCTTTAACCAAAACAATTGTGTATTCCTAGAATAGAACAAATTTGTTATAATTAACGTAATAGTATTGCTTGGGCAATATTAAATTAAGTTCTATCATTATTAGTATAGGTCTAATGCTTTTATAAATAGGTCCTAATGATTATATTTTTTGTTGTAAAACATTTACAAAATGGTGTCGGTCTATAATAGCTTGGTGAGCCTTCAATAAGACCAATTAATGCCACCAGCAGTATAAGTACTCACACGTGAACAATTATTAAGCCAAAGGCCAGAGAGAAGACTTGATGCACCACTGCAGTGCCATAGTTTATAAAGTAGTTCTATATTGGTTCACCTGTATACTAGAGGACTTGATGTAGACTGAAATAGAGCCATTACTTGAACGCGATCAAAAAATAAATGTGCAAATGTTACTTTTTCCCACAATATGGCCGACAAATGGTTTTAAGAATACGGTAAAATTAATGTATATAATGCTTTACGCATTACAATAACTCATATGTATTTGATTAAAGAGCTGTTAGTTGTACAACAGAACTTAGTTGATATTTTTCACGTTTTTGATTTTGATTGATTCACGTTTATGCTATTCAGCAGTACTAGACTTACTTACCACTTAAAAGTGCTATTACACAACAAAGGGCACTAGAAACAGCTCAAAGCTGTGTAACGGATTTACGGTGCATTATAAGGGTACAATTTTACGCTAAGCAGCATGAAGTGTTATCTTACTACTTAAAAATACTACTGTAGACCCTAAGGCACTGAAACATCTGAAAGCTGTATGGCGGATTTACGTGATATTATAATGGTTTATGTTTATGCTACTAAACAGCATTAAGCATTTATTTACTACTTAAAATGCTATTGTAGATCCAAATGCACCAAGAACAGCTGAAAGCTGTACAACTGCGTTGTGGTTTTGCTGCACAAAAACTAAAGCTTTTGATATACCAAATTCCTACCGTTATACCGTGTAAACCATCATAATGGTGTTGAAATGACAATGTAAAGCGTCAAGATGCTCGGTTACTTATATAAGAATTTACTACTCGTTTGTAAAAATTCTTCCTGTATAAAATAGGTGTACAGCCCCATTTACTCTATTTCCTGCGTTCACTCGTCGCTCTATATCCTTATTATATCTCCCATCCCTGCTAAAGAAAAATAAATACTTACATAATATGTTTTGACGACATAAACTACAGTTTTTAAAATTATAAGTTCTACAAAAACAGTGTTCATAAAACACCAATAATATTTTTTTAACCTACAAATATTTCAGACATGTAAAGTCCGTCAACACGCACTGGAGATACGGACTTTTTGCCCCATAACCCTCTCAGAAATGACGGGAAGCCTGTGCTCAGAAGTGGGACTTACATAAGCTGTAATTTTAAATACAAACTAAACTTCTTTAGATATAAATAGCAAAATTACAGATTACAGAGACATTGTGAAGAATTGCGAGAAAATGACCGCGTTGACTGGGCTAGATATAAAAGGTCTTAAGCTAAAAGGCGATAAGTATTCCTTGATTAATTATTTTCTCAATGGATCCATGTATACCGACTTATGGTCGAATAAGACAAGTCTACACGCAGTCGAGTCGGCGTACAGTCTGCAACGTTTGGTGCGCCATATTGATAATCATTCCAACCACGCGTCAGATATTATAGTTCAGTCAGAACTATTAAAAGCGGCCGAAGAAAAAGCTTTAAAGGAACGTACTGTATCATCGCCTCTACCTAATATTCAAAAGAGTGAGTATTTTCCCCCTTTTGTTTTAATAGTCTTTCTTAAGCCATTAATGAGTATAGGGCTTTACTAACATGCATGAATAAAACTAATTTAACAAATTTTATCGCGTTTATTTTAAATCTGCGTAAATCGGACTAACAGTTAACATTTGAAAGCTGAAGTTAGCCCGGGTTAACTATGACATGAGGACGTCAGTCCCTCCCGTGACCATGTGTGCTGTAAAGCGCGCGAAACGTCGGGAGTTAAAATGTTTAAAATAAACGCGATAAAACCTGTAAAATAAGTTTTATTGAATGTATAATATAAGCGTAGATATATTAAAAATTTACATGCATGACTTTAGCGACTAGCCTTTATTATTATATTATTACGAGGGTGGTCCACCACTCCCACGCCATCACCTGTTGTCGTTTGGGTTCTGCATAAATACGGGATATACCTCAATTTGTAAATCGCTCGTCTCGGTCGTTGTGTACCATGGTGTCGCGTGTAGTGAAAAAACATATTAATTTTTATAAAAGTTAGAGTGTAAAATAATGGTAGTGAAGTGGATATTATCAATTATGCCTCATGTGTATTTTTTGGAATATAGTAAAGTTTCATTTTTATTCACGTTCTTGTCGGTAACGCCTCTGACAAAACAACTACTGTTATTATATATAAATTGGGCTTCAGCTTGGTAATGTTAATTTTCATTTGATTATTCTCACAAAATCTTTGCTTGTGTTTTTGGCTAATTCTTTTTTTGTAAACTACGACAATTATTTTCGGCATTCTAACACTGGTTCTGTTTCATGTGATTAAAAAAAACGCTGTCATTATTATTTATTAGCATTGGTACTGCTACAAGCTTGATTGTGAATGTGGTCCCTCTTATATAGGGTAAACAAAAAGATCAATAAAAACCCGCGTAAAAGAACGTTCTGTCTGCTGTTTGCAATCATATCCTAGATGGGCCCCGCCATTACATCAGACTTGATAGACCACAAATCCTTGCGAAAGAACGTCGATTCCTACCAAGGATGATACGTGAGACTACTGAAATTGAAAAACAGAGGAGGCTGGGTATTGGCACCTTCTTGGGATCCTGTATTTAATAAAATAAAAACTAAACCCAAGCATAGACACAGTAAGGTCAATTATGCGTAGCAAGACTCCAAGACACAGTAAGGTCAATTATGCGTAGATCGGACCAACATTAATAATTGCAAATTTGAAAGTACTTCGGGTTAACTTTGACTTCGGGCCGTGAATCACTTCAGTTTCCTCGTGACATGAAGTGTATTAAATGCGATATAATTCATAAAAATTGTTTCATCCAAAATAATTATCGTAAATGACAATGCATCTACGTGACATACTTTCCGTGCCGGGCGCCGCGGGCGGGAAGCAGCCCTTCATCTGTGACAGGGTTTGTGTTCTGAATTGCCGGTCAAGCTGTAAACCGCGCGCAGAAAGTTTGCCGATGACGTAAATTGTCGATGTATAGTATGGTTGACAAAAACACGTTACTAAAATAGTGGTTGCAAATGGAATGAATCTATAAAGTAAAAAACGTTTGAGTTGTTACTGAGTTTTGTTTTAGACGAACCTTTTAGTTTTTCCTTCTCGAAAAAAGTTAGAACTTTTAAAATAATAACACGTTCGGCCACCGCGATACGCTTTTCCTTTACCCATTTTGATAAAAATAACTACTAATATATATATATATATATATATATATATATATATATATATATATATATATATATATATATATATATATAAATATATATTATAATATATAATAAATAAATAACACTGACAAAAAACGACGGGTTGTACTCCGGGAGTGCCGGCAGAAGTGAAAACTTGAATATTAACGTTGTGCATTTTTGATATTTTGGAATGGTTAGGGAATAATTTTGCACGAATTGCTCTAATTATCAGTATAAAAGTAACTATCATCTATGTGGTAGATTACAATATTTATTTATTGCGCTATCGTACACAAACATGACAATTTGTATTACATTCGCGCAAGCGCCTTGCGCCGCCTAAACGAAACAGCAGGCGTGCCTGCTGCTACATTTTCGCCGCGCCATAGAAAGAGAGGAGGATACTTCCTCTCCTACGCCGTCCGTCTTACGTATTTTCGATCAGGTCACGTGTCCTGACGCGAGTTTAACATTTTTTACCCATTACAAAAAAAGTGTACAACGCCGCTAAAGAAGCTTTCAATTCAAAATGTTACAAGAAAGCAATGAATAATTTCGAAGCGAGAGCAATAAATTCAAACTGAGCGCACGACTGCCTTGTTTACCTAGTTAGGAGACCGCGGGACGTGGTTGGCTGAGACGAGAGCGGTAATCATCGGCAAACTTGCTGCGCGCGGGTAATACGAGGGCGACACTGAAAGTTTTTATATCGGTTATAACCGATATAATAAAAAAATAAGTTCAAGTTTTGAAAATGGACCTCTTTATTATTGTGTATGTACTTTATTAATTTATCATTTGTTTACGATTTGACGGCAAATTGAAAATTGTCTGTGTCACGTCAGCATTATTATTTTCGTACAATGATTTTTTATGACTTGATGTCATTTAAGTCAACAAGAAAGTTATGATAGACTTCGATTGGCCTTTCACGATGAAGCTCCATCTCGTGCTACTGTTTACAACTGGTTTAATAAGTTTAAACGTGGTCGCACTAATTTCACCGATGTCTGCGTGAGGGACAGCCTTCTACGGCGACGACTGAAGATAACATCAGTGTCGTGCGGCGTATGATAGAGACTGACAAAAAAGTGACTTATCAGCAGATTTGGACAAGCTTAGGCGTCGGTATGAGTCGAGTGCACAAAATCCTTCATGACATTAGCGCTCAAGGAAGCTTTGTGCCCGGCGGATACCTCATAATTTGACAAGGGCTCAAAAACTCCGTCATGCTGATTGGTGTCGTGAAATGGTTCAAAGATTTAACGGAGGTGACTCAAATGTTGTGTTCGACATACTTACGGGTGACGAAAGCTTGATTTATTGTTATGATCCTGAAATTAAGACAGTGTGCTGTCTGGGTTTTTCCTTCCGAGGAGTTGCCAATTAAGGTAAAAAGAGGTTGAAGCGTTAAATTGGGTTAAACTATAGACATCCGGTACTCGCGTACGGTGGTGAGAGTGGAAGGGGGAAGGGGAGAGTTCAGGGGAAGCCCCCTACCCTTCCCCATTTGCGGAAATGAATAGTTTATGTATATTTTTTTAAAAATCATAACCTCACTTTTTACAAACGAATATTGACACAAAGTTACTTCTGCAATGGCACTGCGGGAAGTGAGCCCCTTCGCCCTTGCGTAGCAAATCACAGGCACGCATGCTCGCCTCCGCGGGCGAGGGGCTGCTCTCCCTTCGCGCCTACGGCTTTACAAAAACACTCCAGGGGTAGGGCAGACAAGCCTACGTGAAGTCGGGGCGTGCTAATTCAGGTTGCCCTAAACTCTGCCATGATAGTGGTAAATGAAATAATGTAATGTGAATTGATATAATTTTGTTTTCTGAAAAACCTCTTGACTGCTTTCCACTGCGACTCAATTTGTTGTATATGAGTTTCGTCTTCAGCCACAAATTGATTATCTGGGTAAAGGCAAAAGTATTAAATCAAGATTCGACTAACTTGATATCTACTACAATAGTAGCGCCCGTAAATTGGCTGCATTCACTTTTTAGTCAACTTGATGTTTATTTAAACCAAAAACTTGTATCACCACCTAATAATACCTATTCATATCGAGCATACGGGCCTTTTACTATCTCCTCTGCTAAACATCTCATCTTACTTGTAGTCTTTGCATGATGATACAGCAGGAAAAATGGATTCTACGGATGGTAAAAACATAGGATTTGTTAAAAGACAGGAATTGATTAGTGAAAGTAAGGAAATTGAAATGATTGGTCATCTTCACGGTGACATTTTCAACCAAGATTAAATTTTTAATTAATGGTGTTGAAATGAGTGTTAAATTGGTTCGATCAAGAGAGAGCTTTAATTTAATTGCTGGGTCAAACGATGTAAAGTTTAAAGTTTACACTCTTATTGTCACTCACGAATTAATCCAAGTGTATTACTCGCACATCAAAAAGTTTTAGCTTCTACCACTGCTAAATATCCTATTACTCGAGCTGAAGTAAAAGTTTTAACAATTCCATCGGGTGTTCAAGGAAAAACTCTTGATAATATATTTTTAGGGCAGGTACCCAAAAGATGTATAATTGGATTTGTGAACAATTCTGCATTTAATGGTTCCCTTACTAAAAATCCATTTAACTTTAAAAACTATGGTATTAATTTTTTCAGCTTATATATTGATGGTCAACAAATACCTTCAAAACCTTTGCAACCATCTTTTAATAATAGTGTATTTACATCAGCATATCATACTCTATTCTCGGGAACTGGTATTCACTTTCTTAATGAAGGAAATGGAATCTCTTGTGAACAGTATGCCAAAGGTTACTGTCTGTTAGCATTTGACTTAACTCCTGATTTATCAGCCAACTCATCAGCTCATTGGAATCTCATAAAGCATGGTAGTGTAAGATTAGAAGTACGATTTGAATCCTCACTAATATAAACAATTAACTGTATAGTTTATGCTGAGTTTGATAATATTATTGAGATAGATAAAAGCAGAAATATTACTGTAGACTATAATAGTTAAGGTTATAATATGTGTTGTGTGCTAGATTTTATGAGTTATGTGTAATGCATTTTGTGTGTATGTAATTATGTGAAACGTTATAAAATTAAATAAAACAAATTGTATGCAATATATTATTTTTTATTTCTTTATAAATCTTCTATTTAATCTAATACAAAACACTGTTCGAGTTTAAAGTTACAGCGGACTCTCTCATTAGATCATCAATAATAACGAGATGTGGGTTTTCACCATCAAACATATTAAGATTTGGAATTCCTTGATGATAGTTAATATTTGGTAAATTATATAAAGGTTGCATTTCATCAAAGCACCATGTGATCTGATTAAAATCACAATTACATATTTTCACATATAATTTGTTACAAAATTTGACTTCCCACATCCACTTGGTCCTGCCACAATAGCAGTAAACGGATGTATAAAGTAAAACATTACACACATCTAAAGTTCTAAGGGGTGAAATAAAAAATGAAAGTGTTGGTGTAAACAATAATTAATATAATTGTGTACTATAACTAATGTTTTTGGGAAATCAAACAAAATTTATGATTAATTTAAAATTTTATTTTCAAGCAATAACCACTTGTAAAAAAACCACACTTCGTCACAAGAACAATGTAAAATTTTGTGAATTATTTTTTGCAAATATATGATTATTACACACATAAGGTTTGTTTAAATTTATGACATTTACCAAATCATTGTATTTTGGACATTCGTATTCTTCAATATTAAAAATTCTATCATTCGTCGTCAACATTTTTAAAAATTGTTTTTCTGTTGCACCACCTTTGTATGCGATCACTTCGTCTTTGCACAAATTTCTAATATACCAATTTAATATGGGGATGATGTTCTCTTATTTGTAGGCATATTTTAATTCTTCGGTCACATCAAAATATGGAATGCCGTGCACGTGTGTTTCACAATAACGAACAGTTTGTCGAACGAACTTGGCCGAAACAAATAATGATCGATAAACGCATCATTTTTATTAGATAGTTTTACGTCTAGAATAGCCATTTCTCTACATTAAAAATGTTTATGAGGATATGTAATGTAAAATCCGTCCACGTCGATGATGTATCTAATATTTTTTAGATTTTGTGTCATTTTGAACCAAAATGTTAAAAGTATTTACACGTGACTAAAAATATGTTTGTCCCAACAAACTTCACATAAAAATGCTTCATTACTTCCCATCATCCCATTTCTTCCTTCTGCTCTTGTCTTCCTGTAATTTAAGTAAACAGAATCACATTCACTAATGATCAACTAATGACTGTCATTGTTAAAAAAAGTATTTTTTAACTACTCTAATATTCGTAGATGTGGTACAATATTTAAATATAATTTGTTAACACTAAATCATACACACGTAAGAAAATAACAGAAAAAAAAGTAAGTTTGTCAATAGAATAAACACTTAAAATTGCAATTAACAATTTAATTGGTGCCGACGGGGATCGAACCCGGGTCGCTTACTGTGAAATTTACAGCTTGCGCTAACCATCTGTGCTACCACGGCTTAATCATATTACACACACACACAATATTTAAATATAATTTGTTAACACTAAATCATACACACGTAAGAAAATAACAGAAAGAAAAGTAACCTTGTCAATAGAATAAACACTTACATCCATGGCCTTTGATGCGTTTAAGTAACACAAATGTAGTATTGATAGATCCACTGCGGTCAAACGACCATACACTAACTCCATGACAGTTGCTTGGTCTTATAAAGTACCAGTAAGTAATCCTATACTTTTAAACGAGCAAAAAAAAAAAAATATATATATATATATATATATATCGTGACGATGAGTTATAAGATTTTGTATTTCATAAATAAAAACCGGCCAAGAGCGTGTCGGGCCACGCTCAGTGTGAGGTTCCGTAGTTTCCCGTCCGTCACAATAAGTGTTCCCACTTATGAGTTTAAAGGTGGGTATCTATTATGTTCGCGCTTCAGCAGCGCTCCGCGCTCCTGCAACTGCTCCCGGTAGTGGGTACTGTTGTTTCCATCCAAGTTCAAAATGATTTTCCTAGAAAGTCCTTATAAAGTTCTACTTTTCAGATTTTTTCATATTTTCTAAACTTATGGTTCAAAAGTTAGAGGGGGGGGGGACGCATTGTTTTTTACTTTTGGAGCGATTATTTCCGAAATTATTGACATTATCAAAAAATGATTTTAGTAAACCCCTATTCATTTTTAAATACCTTTCCAACAATATATCACACGTTAGGGTTGAAATTAAAAAAAAATCACTTCCCACTTTACATATAGGGGGACTACCCTAATAAAACATTTTTTTCCAATTTTTATTTTACCACTTTGTCGGCGTGATTGATACACATATTGGTACCAAATTTCAGCTTTCTAGTGCTAACGGTCACAGAGATTAAGCAAGGACGGACAGACGGACAGACAAACATGGCGAAACTATAAGGGTTCCTAGTTGACTACGGAACCCTAAAAATTGTAACAAAATTAGGTAATGTATTTTATTGATGATTCAGATTAGCGTTGCAGTTAGGAACAAAGGAGTATAATACAATAGCACTGATAAGCCGACGCTCGAATAGACAATGACGGTGTTCAATCAACAATAATTAAGAACAATGGGACGCTAATGACTGTGGAGGCCCTCACCGGATATCAATTAGATAAGAGTTAATTGATCTGCACATCTCCGGAACCGTGCATCCTACGCAAAACTGGACCGCAGATTCGTGATCAGAGCATACCAAAACCTTTATGTATTTTTTTAGGATCGTGAGTCTCGACGAACGTTGTACCACTTCTGAATCAGTGAGCCAGAACTGGTACTAACTAACTACTATATGTTTTTATCGGAATTAATTCAAAACGTATTTCCGACATCCAAAAACAGTGTCAAAAGTTCAAGCTTCACTCTGACAAGCCTCCTAACCTGAAATCATAATTAAAATCAAGTACCGGATATCTATAGCCAACCCAACAATTGTTTTAGAGGGTCGAAAAACAGCTACTGCAGAGTGGTACACTAATAATTATTTGCCACTTGTCTTGTAAAAAGTTCGGGAGAAACGACCTCGCAGTAGGGTCCTCCTTCACCATGACTACGTCTCGTCACACACCGCCAAGCAAACAATCGACTACTTGGTGACGTCAGACGTAGAATTACTGGGTCACCCGCCCCATAGCCTCGACCTCGCACCTTGCGATTTTTATTTATTTCCGAAAATAAAAGAAAAACTGATTAAAACGCTTTATGGACGCCGAGGAAGCAGTAGCTGCGTTTCAAAATGCCGTCGAAGAGACTCCTAACTCCTAAGACGAGTGGGCAAAGTGCTTTTTTTAGTGGTTCCATCGGATGCAGTGATGTATTGATGTAAATGTACCTACACTATTTTGAAAAGATATAATAAAACTAATAACTTGCTAGTTTGTTCAGTTTTTGATTTTCTAAGAACTTTCAGTGTCACCCTCGTACATAGAAGTTTTTGTAGCCAGTTATGTAATTTAACTTCAGCGGACAAAACGAATAACCCTCGATACGAGTTGTTTTTTTTTGTAGTTTTGGAGTCTATTAAGTCTCATGAAATGTCTGTGGGGTAAAATAATATGTATTCTATAAAAATCTAGTTACGGTAAGATACATTTATAACAACATTTTTCAAATGTCTAGATAGAGACAATCACCCCTCACAGTTCCCTCTCGGTGATGCCTTTGGACAAAGGTAGATTAAACTAATCCACTGCTATCAACATTATCCAGGTAAGCCACGTACGGAAGTGAATACGAAACCTGTGCCTAAGCAGAAAAATTATAAAAAGTCTAGCAATCATATTGAAGACGATACAAAAGCTTTCGAAAGTGGAGTACCAATGTAAATATAAACAGTTATCTAATTAATAAAATGTTAAAATATGTTCGAAATATTCATATCAATTTATTGACCTTTTACGTTTTTAAGGTATCCGCCGACATTGAAAATAAGCAGAAATGTTGAAGATTTCGACAAAGATCCGGAGTGGCCTTCTAATCGGTTTTGTAAAGAGGCGTCACCGCATTTCCCGGAGAATTTAGAGGCTATATTTCCAGTTTTTATGCCTTTCGAAAATAAAGGTATACGGTAAGTGAACGAATTTTTGTATTTATGTATGTAGGTATACGGTAAGTGAACGAATTTTTGTATTTATGTATGTTTTATGTGTATTTTTCGGCTCAACCAGGAAAAAACCACGTTCTCACAGAACACCAGCATAACATAGCTGCTGCATTTCGTATGGTAAGCGTAGAAAATCGGAGACCCTTTTTACTGGTATCGAGGCATTCTATCTTAGTGGACATGTGTAACTTGTTTGTCACTCTTATTCTATAAAAAGACAATAATATATCACCTTTGAAGCTATTGCGTAGAACGACCTTCTTTTAACCTAGTGTACATTTGTGCAGAAAAGCAAACCCCTCGCTTTGTTGCTTTTTTAAATTTTATTCAATGTCAAGTATTCGTCTAACTATAAGAAATCATTATAAGAAGATATTTTTGTGGGGCATTGTTATAGAATCGGTACACTGCTGACGGAGAAACTCGGAGTGTCGGCGTCCGAGGAGTACGAGCTTCCTTGGCATCCCCCATCCTGTCCGCACGATAAAGTTGCAACAGCATTTATTCAGAAGAAACCACACAAGTAAATTATTTTACATATATAATAAGTAATGTCAATTAGAGAAACCATTTCACCTCGTAACTAGGCATCATAAAACTTGAATATGACATCTCAAGGTGTCTGTAATACAATAATGGTAAAATAACTCTAAATCTTACTGATGTGAAAATTAATTAGCTAAGATCCTTCTTTAAAATAAAACTCCACCAAGAAAGCACTGGCTAATGCAGTGTAGCTATACGCAGCCTATTAGTTTTTTTTACGCGAAATTTAACCAATTGTATATTTTACGTGGTAAAATTATAGTTTGTATTATAACTGTGTCTTAATCGAGAAAAGACCAAACTCGCACATATATCAGCGTAAAATAGCAGCTTAATGCTGCTATTATACGCGTGTTTCGTATGGTTAATGATCTAGACATCCCTTACTTGTAATAGAGGCATTCCTTATTAGTCAAGTAAGGCAGTGAATTAGGTAAAGAATGTACTTAAAAAAACTTTCAAGCGTGCATAGACCTTTTTGTTATTAATTATTTAATAATTAAAATGTCTACCGTCACCTCGTATAGAAGCATCGTATGATACCCCCGCGACGGTATGGAGTGAAAGATTTTCTCAAGCCGTCATCATAATCTCTGTAAAATTATAAAAGTATGTTTTATCTAACTAATATAAAATATAATTATATTCTATATTAATTAAAGCGTATGTAGACTATGAGAAAGCCTCTTATTCTACAGTCCTTTTAACGTTGTCAAGTTGACTGTCGGTATATAAAAGTGCTGAAGAGTTTGTAAAGTATGGCTGCGATGGCTATCTGAGTACAGTACTAGAGTGCGAAACACAGCGGGCATTGGAAGACGTGTTCAAGCTACTGGACTAGAATATTATAATAGAAGATACGGTATTAACATCAATGGCGAGTACATCACTCACTTCACAGAAACGCTGAAGGACCTAAGTTCAATGACTTCAATAGTGTGAGGTCACTAACTAAAAATGCCGGTAGTTGTTGGGAGCACTACGTTCGAAATTGTTTACCTAGGACAAATTGTCCGACTGGTAAAGTCCTGCTTCGACTTAGAGACCATTCGATGGATTCAACTCGGCTGGGCTGCGTCCAGAAAATTACGACACATTCTCGTCAGGCATACCTCAACACATTAAAATAATGTTTACAACCAGTGCGTGTTGTCAGTGATGACCTATGGATCTGACACGTGGTCCTTCACTACTGGCCGTGTGAGGAACCTCGAGGTCGCTCAGCGAGCTTATAGAGAGGGCTATGCTCGAGGGTTTCTCTGCGTGGTAGAATTAAAAACGATGATATTTGCAGTAGAACCAGAGTAACCGACATAGCCCTTTTTTTTTTTTTGCATGGGGAAATGCCTACGCATACCCGCCTCGCGGGGGCAATGACGGGTTATGTCGGACTCGCACCGACTAAAATCCCATGGTGTTCCACCTTTGTCGCATATTGGCAGGGCTACGGGAACGCTTTCGCACACATCCGCGGCCCTACTAGCGCCTGCCGCCCCGTGGCAGCACCTCCTCGGGAGAGGAAAATTCCTCCCCGTTCTCCTTCCCAGGTAAGGCGCACCAGAACACATGGCGCGCCTTCCTCCACGGCCTCCAACTACGTCTGTGCAACAGACGCCCCCCGCGTCCGATGCACACAGGCCATGGGGCCAGGAAAAACGAGCACTTAGAAGTACTAGCCTTCCCGACCCCAGCGGCGGATCTGGTCTATGGCTCCGCCGCCAACCAAGATTCGGCTGCGGAGGGTAGGGAGAGCGGCGCCTCGCAATACCGACAATCCTCTCCCCCCGCAGCCCCACCACCACCGCATCAACGGTGCGGCCCCGTTTGAGTCGCGAAGGATAGGGCGAGTGGCGCATCGCCATACCAACACTCCTCTTCCTCCGCGACTCCACCTCGGCTGCAGCGGTAGAGGGTGCGCGAGTCCCCACTCGCTGCAGTCCACCAGCACACATCCGAAGTGGGCTCCCGGGCCAGCCACGTGAGTTCCTCTTTGTTCACCGTGGGAGACCAAGCCACGGCTACTAAGCCCCCCCGCCACGACAAGGCGGGAACCCGTTCGGGGGGGAACCGACATAGCCCAGCAGATTAGTAAGCTGTAGTGGCAGTGGACCATCCATATGGCTCGAAGAACCCACAACCGATTGGGACGAAAAAGTGTTACTCCCCCACTAGATGTAGTGACGACCGGGTAAGGCTTGCAGGAAGTTGGATGCAGGTGGCTCAGGACCGTGCTTTGTGGCATTACTTAGGGGAGGCAGTGGACATGTGAAGGGCTGTAATGATTGAATGAATGAATAACTATAATTACAGAAAGAAATATTCACCCCTTACATTTGCCTAACAAATTAATTTCATAATCTAAATCTAAATCTGTCAAATGTTTCAACTCGTTTCAAAGTGGTGCCGCCCTGGTCGTAGATAAAGTAGTGGATGCCCGTTTTGACTGCCGGCGTATAAGGAAATGGCTGACCGACAAAACAACCGGCTGATTAAACTATCGGGCTGCGATATACACTATCTATATTCATGAATTCAATATGTTAGCAAAATAATTTAGTCGCTTCGGAGTTAAAAGCAAGTTATATTTATCACGTTCCTATCGTGTCTAACGGCAGAAATCTAACAATATCTTACTTATATCAAAAACAAACAGAAAATTTGATCTTAGTACTCAGAGGTGGCTGCAGGTGTTCATACATTGCAGTAGCCACTTACCATCATATAGGCTGGAGGTTCCTTTGTCACTTCAATTTTAATAAAAAAAGAGAAACTAAAGCAATACGTATGCACTTTCAGTGCATTTTAATGGGAAAAAAATCGTAACATAGCGCTAAAAATGCTAACTACATCTCCACTAATCATTTTTCAGTACTATGACGCATCTATTGACAATTTTCTCAATGTTTTATGTTTTTGTTTACTGGTCACCAATTAATCAAATTTAATGATAATTTATCATATTTATAGAAATCATTTAATAAGCGGGGTTGTCACAACGGATTATTTGAGACAACAGCTATTGAAATACGTTGCAAATGGCAACGTGGACCTCGCCAAGCATATGCAAGACGCAGAAATAGGTCAGCGGATATATGCCGCGATGCAAAAGGTATAAAATAATGTACTCATAAGTTTTTTTTTCGTCGTCTTAATTATTTCTGCTACGTAGCAGCAGTGCAGCCATTGCTATGTTCCGGATTAAATAAATATTTGAACTTAATTTTTAGGGTGTAAACAAAAAATATAATTAAATAGGTTACTACGGTTCGGTAGCGCAGAGAATAAGTAATATTTGTTGTAAAAACAAATATTTTCTGTCTGGATGTTTGTCTGTTAATGCCTACAAAATACAGGAGAAGTTCATGTTCTTAGGGTAATATTAAAATAAAGTATTTGCCTGATTTTCCCAAAATAATTATAACTGCAGATGTAGGTAGTGTTATTTTGTAACTGCTTTTGCTCCTTTGTTTTTTGGATTTTTCTGTCTATATCTATAGTAATACGGAAAGGGAAAACTTGGTACTTCTTTTCAAGCATATTGTGCGCACGGAGAAGTGCGAAATTTGGCATTTAAAGTTTAAATTTATATGAAGGAGTGCAGAAAGTCAAAATTTATACATAATTTATATAGGTATGGTATACTACTGCTAATACTAATACTGTCTCAGAGTAAGTAAAAGCGTAAGAATGTTATTACTCTAAGGCCTAATGTCAAACATTTAATAATCTGTAGTCAAACAGTCGCACAGAGTAGATATTGTCTTGAAATAATTTAAAATGTTGCCAACAAAAATAATTACTGACTGATTGACTGAATAAGCTGTGAATGTTATGTAACGTAATTAACGCACACCCTCAGACACCCCAATTAGTATATTATGTTATAATCATAATACATACACTGAATTTTAGTTAAACATTTTTATGCACTGATTATTTATCAAATTAGTTATACTAACTCCGGAAGAATGTGGTCACAATACAAATCCACGAACGCAAAGACTTTAACTTGCTTGAAATAAAGTTCATTTTTCTTTATTTTTATTGAATGACAGAATTAGTAATAATACAAATAAAACTGCACTCTTAAAAGTCTTATTGCCTTAAGTTACGGTCCATTTCAGTTTCTTTTGACTGTACAGATTTAGTGTGACTGTAATTTACGTAGTTTTAATTATTTTTGGGATAATGTATATAGATAATGTATATAGCGTTTTTTTTAAGTTCATTGAATTTACGTTCTATAAGTGAAACCAAACCACTGGTTTCAAGGACAACGGTGTTTACACTAACAACCTGTATATATAAATTTACTAATAGTAGGATTTCCCGTTTTTTTATTATTAGTCGACTCCGTTTTGATTGCGATTTAATTATTCTATTGCAGAAATTAGCACCGAAATGGATTCTTCAAACGCTGTCTTCACTGTACTGGCGCGTCCGTGGCAACAATTTAAATACGTTAAACTGCCTCATATCAGCCTTAAATACTGTCCCGGATCGGTACAGGGACATAGTGCTGGTTTCATTGGCTTCCGTTTGTCTGGAGATGGGGCACTTTGAAGAAGCAATGCTACTTGCGGAAGAAGCATTCAGGACCAGTCTGTATGAGGTTGGTTGGTAATTTAGATATTATTCGGGTATTGGACGACTGTTCAATAATAATTTAAATTTTATGTAAAAACAGTTTAATAAAGAAGTGAAATAATTAAGATAAAAATATAACGTTAATGTTATATGTTATACTGATGACTTCGCGTCCGTCGCGGTTAAGGTGATTACATGGACTAAAACAATTTTTATTATTGTCGAACTATAGCAATTGCTTCACGTAAAATGTTAACGCCAGCAGAAATGTACTGTTGGACCGTACAGATATTGATCTACTATATTAATAATATGTAATATATAGTCAACCTAATCTAAGAAATAAATTTTGACAGCTGTCAGACTTGTTGCGCCAAACATGACAACCAAAAAATGGGAACGTACGATTCGATTCTTTTAAAAAAATCGATATCGATTGTTTAGAGTTGGTAATCATAATTTACAGTTTGGTTTGAGTAATACCAAAATAAATTAAAAACAGATAATTTAAAACACGAAGTTTATCAGTTTCTTGGTTATTTCCAGAGATTGAAACTAGATTAAAAATAAATTTATTCAATCACTTTCAATACAATTAGTTGCGCTGTCGTTGTTTATTTATTTTTAATAATACAGTCAAAATAAATGTCTCTCAAAGTCATCCATAATCAATTTTTTAGTTTTTTTCTACCACTTTTGGCCAATCATCCTTTGTGATATGGGCACATGCTTCAACTAATTTAGAAGAAACAGTAAAAAAACAAGACAAAAAACAAAAAGTAAAAGAATTACTTGTTTTAGTCATGATACGTGTAATTTAAGAACTTTTAAAAATAAAAATTTAGTTAAACAAATAAAACATTAAAAAAATTAATGATTCGATTATTTTAATATTTTTGCCGATTATTCGCTTAACAATGAATTTTAATCGTCTAAATACTATGGTAAGGCACATAGCGACATCATTGAAACGATGTCAAGTAACAAAGTTGATACTGGTTATTTTTTGAATATTTTGCTATGTTTGGAAGATTCGAATTTAAATTAGTGATAAAAAACTTTGTAATGAAATGTAGATAACTTCATAACTCTTCCGATTTACGTAAAAGGTTATTTTAAATCGTGTGAGTATGCTTGTGCAAGGTTATCGCGGAATGGTTAATGTGAAACGTCAAAAGGTATTTCTTAGATTTGGTTGACTATAGTATCGAATATTTAAAATTATTTATTGTGTACTGCAAGTAAGTGGGATACTCGGTCCCTTGTTGTTTTCATTATATTTTAGAGATAGAGGACTCGCACTCGAAATAGGGATTATATAGTTTACTATAGTTCTTAATATTGATAAATGCCGTATTACAATATGATATGTGTAAAGTAAGCAATATATCATTTGATTAAATTTTAACAGAGAGGGTAAAAATTTGATATCAAATATCTATATCAAATTTTTAATTTAATGATCAATGTGAGATCATATTAGGCAAATATTTGATTAATCAACTCCAGACATCAGAAACACTTTTTATTTGTATTAAAAATCTGCTGCCAAGCAAGTCAAAATCGAACAATGCGTTCAAAAATTCTTCATAAACATCTCTCAAATAATCCTTTTGAGCCCTAAAATTAAATAGATTTTCCAGCGTTGCGCTCGATAATAAGCGGGAAGTTCCAGGGATGGCCTGCAGGGTCAACCGTTTTTCAGATTTTTCTATTAAGACATCTCTGCATATAACAAAAAAAAATTAATTTAATGAAAATGCTACTTGGTTATTTGGTTTCTTTTGGCTGACTTTTCCCAGGACAGAGGTATTTTCCAAATCAGTGGTAAAATTATCTAAGCTTGACGGTAACGCGAGTTCAGTGCTTTTCCCCATTCCAAAAATGCCTAACGTGCAAAAACAATTTCAATAAGGTTTACTTTAAATCTTTATTCAATAAAATTTATTAAATTCTCTTCTATACTAGTTGCATTTATTGATATTCTGATTTTTTACATGTTAATGTTGATGTGGTCAGTTTACTATGCAAATAGTGGGTGCAGCATCTTCTTAAAGTTCATCTAATTTTTTGATACTGTGGGTCTATTTCTAAATGACCTACTGTGTATTTTTTATTGTATGTACCTACTCGTATAAATATGACTGCTTTATGTGAAAAAATTGTCACTTTAAAAAACGAGAAGAAATAATGACTCCAGAATTTCTCGCCAGTTCTTCTCTATATGCAGTTGTCATTTTTGGAATTGTAGTTGATGTTGACCTTAAGAGCTTTATAAAACTCTAAACTGAATAAATTTTTTTGACTTATTTGGTTTTGGCAAATCCTAAAGTGTAATAGGAACTTATTCATTTCAGCCAGCGACAAACTTCATCCTAGCAGAACTCAATATGCTAATAAAGCATCATAACACTCATATGTTTCATTTAAAACAAGTGCTGCGCGTCGAAAAGGAATTTATGGGGGGACTCGCCAGAAATCTTCTGTATGGCTGGGCTTGCATAATGAAGCAGGTCAACGAGTTGGCTGAAATGGGTGAGATATTTTTAAATAATTATTTATTCACTCTCTTTTTGCACTAAGTCTCAGAAATTATTTCGAAGGCGTCATGGCATTACTAGCTCCCCACAGTTCATGTCGAAACTATTATGCAATAGAACGATTGCTGCCCTGAACACACTTTTCCTGTATCTCGAGCACTATATATGCGTTTTCGAATCGTGGTTCATTTTGGACCCTCTTCCAAGACAATTTATTTTATTGACTATCTCTTTACGATTGTAATTTGTTCCCCCATGATCGAAATCATAGTACCATTGAAAATTTGCCATCGTATATTACTATTGGAATAGATAGACTGACATGCCCTTCATCTGCTGCTCTCATTGAGTAGGATTTGTCTTAATCCTCACGTTTAGCAGGTGGATTGACGATCGAAATCCAGATATCTGGTACCTTGGACGCTGCTGCCCATCAGCGGTCTGGGTATTTTACCATATATTCGAAGCCATGAGAGCTTTCTTGCGATTCCATAGTAGTTTATTTCGTCTCGTATAGAAATAGAGTCATGAATTCTTTGCGTTACTACTACGCCGCCGTTAGTTCAGGTTTATCCTTTACTAATGAATTTTATATTATCGGCAGATTGTAGTAGTGAAGACAGCACTCGAATCGAACCGGAAACGGACATGGTATGCGAGAAGGACGGAAGTAATTGTCCTAAGACCAACTTACAGAGCTCCAATAAACAACAGAAAGGTAACTGTATAAGTAAAGAGATTTTATTTAATATTTATTTAATAATTATCTATGCAACACTTTGAAAATTACTAGAACTATAATCATTGTTTTTTAATTTTTTTTTTATATTTTCTCCCAGTCGAACAATAAACTTTTTTTATATTTTCTTCTGCCAAACTGCAATAGTTTGTCGGCAGTAGTTCTCGTCTTACATAATTATGTTTATGTAATCTTAAGTATAATTTCTTATACATATATTAACAACTATTTTATTATTCTATTTTTATATATTTAGTATAAAATTTGTTATGAGGTCTACATCAGCCTTTTTTTGTTACATACATACATACATATACAATAATAAAACACACACTCAAACAGCACACATCGTACATGGATCGCTAATTTCAACAGTACGTTACACGTGGCTTGTGGCACATTTTTATGAATACAATGATATGTATTTATAAAAGTATGCCACAAGCCACGAGATAACTTTACTAAGCAAGAGCCAGCTCGTTAGGTAATTGAGGGATAACCGATTGTTTCATGCGTTTACCATAGTAATTTTAAATTTTAGGTACTACATATCTTCCTTTTCAAGTGGATTGTCGTGTTGGTTAGCCATATTCTCTTTCTTCTTTTTTGTCTTTCAACACGGGGAAATGCCTACGCATACCCGCCTCGCGGGGGCAATAATGGGTTATGTCGGACTCGCACTCGGAGTGGCTACTACGGCACGGCCCTTCATACCTTGCGTCAGCCATGTGGGTTCCTCTTTGTTCACCGCGGGCGACCAAGACACGGCTGCTAAGCAGTGGCGAAGCTAGGGCTCTAAACTAGGGCAAGCCCAAGATATGGTTTTGTTGTTTTTAGCAGCTTTATAAAAATACACCAATCTTGATCTGTCTCCACTCTTTAGTTTCATATTCAGTGCTGTCAAGGATGTATTTAACAAAGCACACAGAAGGCATACTACCGCTAAATAGATTGTATGACATATGCAATTGCATACCTTCGGTGGCTTTGAAAAGAGCCGTTAGGGATTGCATGAGCGAAAGAAAAAGATATTTACATACGATACAATACATGAACAAAAGAAAAGCAAGAACAAAGTACAAACAAACTATATACAAAATTAAAAAAGGGACGCCTGGCAGATGTGAAACATCGAAATTATTTTGTTTAAGTTACGATGACGAAGTTATGATAGGAATTAGATATGGTATAATGAGAAGATAAAGCTTTGCAAATTTTTTTACCATAAATAATGACTATAAATTATATAATTATTCATTTTCAATTTTAATAAACCGTAAAAAATGATATTTTTAACTCTTAAGGTAATATAAATTTTAATTTATTAAATTAGCCGATAGCGTGTTTGTGCCATCTAGCGTAATCTTTACGTACCACCGTGAGAATCGATCAATTTATGTTCGAAAAAATGACGTCACCTATAGAATTAAGTAGATGGCGCTATTAAAATTTTATATACTGAAAGACTAAAAGAAATATTCTATAAAAACCTAAATACATCTATTCATTTAACGTATTACATTAAAATTTGGGCTTCACATTAGAAAAAAAGATTGTAACAATTATTTCCTATAAAAAACTTATACTTAGGTGTCTCATATTTTAAGCTGAAGTTCAAAATGATATTTTTAACTCATATGGTAATATAAGTGTTGAGTTATTAAAGCTTTAAATACAACCTAGAATAATTAAACTTTAAAACTAAAGAGTTCATTTTTAAAGATTTTACCTTTTCCTCGCCGATTACTACTTTAACACTCTTATATTCATCTCAAGGAACACTTTTATCCTCCCATTTTCACTAAAAATCTTTGAAAAACCATAAAGTTTTAACAGACACGACAAAAAAAATACATAAACATTGAAATGTGAAGTGAACTTGCAAACGTATCGCCCGTACCACTCGCTAACGCACTCATGAACAACTTCAGAGCAAAGCACGGCTTTTGGTTCCATAGTAATTACTATATAAACATTTCATAGTTATATTTCATTATAGAACATTTTGCCACAGGTTAGAAAGGAAGCGATCGTATTCCGAAAGCCCGGTAAATAGCCAAAGCGTGCGAATGAGACGATAAAATAAACTCCTTGCGTTCATTAATTTTGACAGTCCAGTGTACTTCGAATTGAAAGCAAACTGTCAACATATTATTTGCTACGAGGTCATGCCCTGCAGAGCGCGCAGGAAATTTGAAATAGTTTGAAACAGTTTACGAGTTATTTTATTAGTTGATATTATTGATTGAGCAGTTTTATAGAGCAAGCCCGGCTTCTGGGCTTCTATTGAGGCTTCGCCACTGCTACTAAGCCTCCCGCCACGACATGGCGGGAACTCGTTCGGGGGAGTCTTTTATATACAGGCTGTTCTAGAAAGAATGGATAATCTTGGAGCGCCTAATAGTTCAGGTATCAGGCGCTCAATTAAAAATACAAAAAAAATATATTCTAAGTGGTGTCAAAAATATGAAGGTTTTAAAAAAATATGTTTTTATACTGTACTTTCATGTACACCACTGCCGCAAATTATTGAAATCCGTTGCGTTTTTGGTGTTCTCTTATTCCTTACAGACTATTCTATTAAAAATGCAGTAAAGAGTATGAGTACTTTTTTGCAAAAAAAAAAAACTTCAAATTTTGGCATGAAATTTTATAAGAAAATAATTATTACAAAAGTTGATAGCCGTTCGTAAAAAAAAAGCATGAATACCTAAGTGGCCAACTATTTCAAAAATATGCGGAGCTAATACAGTTTACAAAATGGTATGATACATAATTATATCCAAAGATAGAAAATTAAAAAAATCTTATCTTTTCTTTAACGGTGAAATTGACAAGGGCGTTCTTGAGTGGAAAGAGTGCTTTTTATTGTAGTAAAGATCGTATAATATCGGTATTTACTACAATACAAAGTGTGGCATACGTTACCCATCTTTTGTTTATTACGATTTACGAGACTGGAATAGGTAGAGTGTGAGTGAGCGAGAGAAAAGTATAATGTTAATACATTGTAAATTTTCTCGCGCGACTAGGCACATAACAAAGGCAAGTATTTAGTGTGTCCCTCGACTTGTTGGGTATCGCATGTGTTTATTCCTTTTGGAGTTCGCTGTGATTTTAAAATCAGTGTTATAACGACGATTCCTGACTATTTCATTGGACTCTTAGTTTTTCTTTGTGATTTGGACTTTGTTTGGTAATTTTACGACGACTTGGCTTGTATCTGGGCTGATATTGTGTATCAAGATGCTACGTATTCAATATACGGTACAAGAATATGCAAATATGTACTTCATTTATGGTGAATGCAGAAGCGAAGCAATTGCTGCTGCCGCCATTTATAAGGAAAGGTACCCTACCGCGCGTCACCCAGATTACCGCGTATTCATCAGAGTCCGCAGGTCTTATGCGGAAGGTAGAACCTGGCAGCGGCATTGGTGGTATGAGCACTGGAAGACTAGCTAATATCAATACACAAGACATTGTGCTTAACGAAATTGAGCAAGACCCGTCCACCTTTACTAGAGTAATAGCACGACGTACTGGAATCTCCAAGACGACCGTGCACCGTGTAGTGAAAAAAAAATTCATCCCTACCACATTAGACGTGTCCAAGCTCTACCACTGAGAGATTACAAAGCACAATAAAAAAAGCATAATCTGCACAGCTGACATTTCTCAAATCCGCATCTAATGCGGGAAGAAAGATCACAATATCAGTTCAAAATAAATTTTTGGACTAGTATATTAAACGGAAAAATTATTGGTCCATTTGAACTGCCCGGAAACTTATCTGGACAAAGTTATTTGAATTCTCTACAAAATGATCTGCCAAATTTAATGGAAGAGGTGCCTGAAGAGGTGCGACTATTCCACTGCTGTGTGACATGTCATTGAAACGTCAAGTAAAAAAGTTAATACTGGTTATTTATTAATATTTTTCTTTATTTGAAAAATTCAAATTTAAATAAGTGAGAAAAAACTATACACTTTGTAATGAAATATAGACAACTTCATGATTCTTTGGATTTACGTAAAAGGTTATTTTAAATCGTGTGAGTATGCTTGTGCAAAGTTATTGCGGAATGATTAATGTGAAACGTCAAAAGGTATTTCTTAGATTTGGTTGACAATAACTACTCATTATTTTGAAATAGCTAGCCACTTAGATCTTTATACTTTTTTTACGAGTGGCTCTCAAACTTAATAAAATTACTAAATAAAATTTCATGCTAAAATTTTTAAAAGTTTTTTTTTTTTGCAGAAAAGTACAATAGATCCTCATACTCTTTACTGCATTTCTAATAGAATAGTCTGTGAGGAATAAGAGAACACCAAAACACAAAAATACATAATGGTATAATACAACAAATTTCATTAATTTGCAGCAGTGGTGTACACGAAACTACATTAAGGTCAATAAAAATATTTTTTTAAACCTTCATATTTTCGGCACCACTTGCAATATTTTTTTTTATTTGAGCGCCTAATACCTGTACTATTAGGTGCTGCAGGATTATCCGTTCTTTCTGGGACACCCGATATACTACATATTTTCCTTTTCAAGTGAATTGACGTGTTGGGTAGCCATATTCTCTTTCTTTTTTTATCTACAGGTACAATTTTACTAATTTTTAAATGTTTATCACATTTTTTATTACACGCAATTTTCACTTTATCTTCATATATATAAAAATCTCGTTTCACAGTGTTTGTGAGTGCACTCCTCCAGAATGGCTCGACCAATAATTACGATTTTTTTATGTTTATTTGGTAGGTATGAGAATCGGTCGTAAAGTATATTAAGACTCAGTAGGTGGCGCTGTTGTCGAGATTCAGAAATCACTGATGAATCATGGAACGCTAATTATCTAATAGTATCTTTAACAACCTTGTTTGTAGTGCTTTGATTTTATTTTAATACACTGGGAACATTAGTCCATAGCTACCCAACCCGTTGCCTATAATTGCCTCCGCGAGCGTATAGTTCAGCATATATAACATATTTCTGCTTAGCAAAAATTTTAGGTGGTACAATTTTCCCAATAACTACGTAATTTGTTACAGATTTACTCAATATTACAGATATACTCCATACAAAACTGGTATCTGTAGTTTGTCCTCGGTATTCGTGGTGCTATTTCTGTGAAAACAATAGTAGAGTGTGACTATTAATTACAAGTCAGTGTGTTTTTGTAGATTGTATGGCGAAAATATTATCAAGCACTTAGTTTTGTTTATATTTATCATAATACCATTATCATACGCCCATTTAACAATGCTGTTTACTCTAGTCTTTTTGCATAACTATTTGTATCATCTTTCGATCTTTATCAGAGCATATTAGGCAAGTGTCATAGGCATTCATATACATTTTACATCATCGTACTACTTTACTCATTCCGTTTGTAACATCATTATTTTTTAAAATTTCTGAAATTTGTTTAACTATAATTATTTGGTAATTTTATTGATTAAATTAAATATGTCAATGGTTTTGTAGTTTGCGTATTCTTGATGCGATACCTGCTTATAATATAGGTCTGATTATCGCTTTTCTAGTTCTAGCGGGTAAATAATTTTTAAACAAACATATTAAAAAAAATGCGTTGTTAGGACTAACGACTTTTTTTAATAAATTTTAAATATAAATTTAATTTTTTTATACAGTTACGATAGAAATGTTAGCAGTAGTACTCGTACACATTGGAACAACTACTGGAAAATTAGAGCTAAATTAAATGATTTTTTTGATGTTCTATAACTTAAAACACATATGGAGAAAAAACTACATCAGTTCTCATATATCTTATAGATGACTGTGTTTTTTTTCGATTAAATAACGCTACAGTTAACGTAAAAACTGGTTACAATGTTACTCAGTTTTACGGTGGACAGTACACAGTTACTGATGATAAGCCTTTAACTCGAGACTGACCCTAATTATATTGTGTTACATAATAGTGTTACGTACATTTTTAGGAGCCAATCATAATTCTAAGGAACATGGTCGAAGAAACAATCTTTCCAGACAAGTTACTAACTTATATGCGAATGAAAATCAAAGTAATGATAATCTAAAGGTTCGCCTCAAATTTCAAATCGTGTTCTTGGTTTCTTGACCTTCTACTTTAAATTTTTATGTTATTCTTGATTTCTATACAGAAAATTTTCCATACATCATGTTATTTTCGAATTTGTTTCGTTTTGTCATACTTTCTTTAGTTTATATTATTTGTATTTTGTCTGTCCGGTTGTTCATTAACGAAGTCGGTGAAGGTCTTGACTGAAAACCAGTGTTGTGGTACCCAGCAGATTAATACTGAGGTGAATCCTTTTTGACTTCGTAATTGACTTACCCACTGACTTTTTATATATAAAATATTATGTTATTGTGAAGAAATATGTAATTTTCTATATATAACCTTAATTCTGTTCTAATTTTTAGTGGACACAAGTACGATAGTGCGTTTGCTCGAAATGAAAGACGAGAAAATACGCAAATCTAAAGAGGACAATGTGGATGAGAGCATATTTGATCCTTTTATTGTTAACATGCCTTCTGATCGTAACAATTTATTAGGACATCAGTTGAATTTCGACAGTATGATGATAACTCTGGGGAAATCGTTGAAAGGTTGCGGTGCTCAAGGATGCCGTAGTGAGTTGCTTTTAAAAAAATTACTTAATTAGTTTTAAAACATGTTAATATTAAGTAAATAACGCTTTACGCTATAACTTAACTTGCACTAAATATGTCAGAACTTTGGAACCTAGTGTACACGCTAACTCAGAGATTATAACCTACAGATCTAATGCTTATGTGATTAGATCAGAGGTTAGCATAAAAGTACATACAGACAATAGTACAAAGAAATATTGTGTTTTTAAAAAACCTAAGGAAACATTTAATAGGAGTCTTAATTTTATGTAATTTTTCTCGCTTTCAATTTGTATTACAGACTTTAATCTTAAAAAATCATGTCTTTCTTTTATATCATTTTATTAATTGTTGAAAATAAAAAAATAAAGTAACATTTTTAGTATTCACTATAATAATATAAGGAGAAGAATGAAACATGCCGTTAAAACAGATAACATGAATTCAGCACAGTATTTGTATAGAAAAATCATGTGTGTACATGATTTTTTAACTGAAAGTAGTTTTGATAGTATTTACGGTTGTATGAGGTAAAATCCCTTTGCCTTTCTTGCACGGGAAAATATAGCAAAAAAAGTTTATACAGGGAGTTTTGTCGGGTAATTGATCGTCGGTGAATGGATGATGATCAGCAGAAAACATATTTAACAGAATCAGCCGCGGATTCTGTTAAATATGTTTTGCAGTAAATTTTGATACGCAATACTGGTGCGATTTTGTATATTAAATGTCTGCGTACGTGAACTATTAGAGGAACGATGTAGCAAGTGCTTCGAAGGTGATATAAATCTTAGGATTTTTTAACCGTTGAGGCGAGGGAGGGCGGCTAGTTATATTGACTTGTGCAGTGAAGTCATCGGCTCCCTTGGGTAGGTTGTTCATGGAGTCACCAGCAACATAACCACGACGTAATTCCTTGACAGATACGTTATTTACGTTGAATCGTCATCAACTGTCCACTGTAAGAAGTTACCGTCATATAGTGATAATTTTCTTTCTTACAGACCTACAAGCAGAAGATTTGGCACTAAAAGAAGATGACTGTGCAGACCATCACTTACAACTGGGTTATTGGCTGCACATTGTTAGCTTTAAGCAACCGTTCACTGATACCAAACTGCGGTGAGATTTTGATCTCATTTTAATATAGTTTCACAATGCTCGCCAAATAACAATAGCACTGTCAAATCGCCATCTTGTTTCGTATTGCTTATTAACTCCAAGTAGATTTTGTGATATCTGTATGACATGCAAAGATGTCAAGGACAATACAATAATAAAAAATCTAATCAATCAATCAAAATCGTCATTAGTAAAAAACTATAAAAACCTCGATTATAATACCACGTACGAAATATACATTTAGATTTCATTTTTTTTGTACCCACAGCTGGACATGGCCACTCTTGTTGTAGGGAGAATTTTTTGCCTCATTTAGCGAGCGCATTGAAGGTCGCAGTATCAGACCTCTCACACTGTTGACGAAGTTTCCCGTCGCCGTTTTGAAACTTTTACATCTGCCGTAAATGAGGTGGTTATACGGTCGCCCACAGTACGAAGTGAGGTGATGGATTTTCTTACGCTGCCAAAACTAAACTTAACACAAAATGGTTTAAAAAAGTAATGCGTAATATATATTGTTAAGTGGCCGTTTACGAGTGGGAGACTAGTACCAGTAAGCGAAGTGTTGGACGACCGCCCAATAGATGGAGTGACAATCTGGTGAAACAAATCAATGAAAGCAGGTGGCTTAGGCTCTCCGTTTCTCTTTTTTCATTCCGTTGTTGGAGAGGCCTGTGTTCAGCAGTAGACTCGTGAAGGTCTGTAATGATGGTGCCGATCACTTACAGTCATGTATGGCAGCTTTACCAATGTAAGTTAACTAGTAACTACCATCAGGGATGTACAGGTACAAAATTACGATTACCATAGCCATCGTAACGTTTTTCGAGATATGGCATTTTTTGGATGAAAATTTATTAACTAATTAGCAACATTGTTTTCGATATAGCAACATGAGAGTCAATTTTAGGATTTTATTTTAACGCTAAATAGGCTATTACACCCATTTTCAAAAAGTGTTTTAAATGAATGCTGGAGTGATATGAACCACTATAATAATATAATAATAATATATTAATAATCTTTATTTGCAAGAATATGGTTGTACAATGGTGTTCGATTATTACATAATTTTAAACCGAATAGTGCCATAAAATTGCTTTTAATCTATCATTTTAAATTTTCGCGTGAAAACGCTAGCTGCCATGCTGTTCTACTCGTGACATCACTGTCCCAGAATTTTGCCGATTTTGCAAAGGTATAAGATACATTTTAATATTTAATAATGACTTATCTATATTATTGTTGTGTTGTGCCTGAATGCAAAAACACGAGCATAAGAACGTCGGGAAAGTTACGGATTAAAGTGATTTAAATATAAGAAATACTTGGTTAAATTGGCAAGAAGATACCTGAATACATTTTCTACACAAACTAGACTATTCTTCTGTGAAGATCATTTTGATGTAAATATGACTTATTTTCAACTATCGCTTATACAAAACAAAACATGATGAGGTGAAGGGTATCGCAAATCAAAGTTTCTAATAAATTACGTTAACTTAGATTAGTATTATAACTAATGATTACTAATGATTGTAATTATAGATAAACTAACCTATGATAGCTACTAAACTTTGTTTTATCAAAATACTCTCGGATCTGGTATTGTGTTTTGTACAAACAAAAGTTGGTAATAGGTACTTCTTACATTGATGTTTTAACACTCCTCAACTAAGCAGAACAAAAATTGGCATTGCATTCAAAAAAATTTTCCACCATCATTTGATTAGTATTTTCTGATTTTACGAATTCCTTTTCCATGATGCCTTTTCAATAAAATTCGTTAGCGTTAGCTAGTTCTCTTAATCAGTAACAGAACAGTAATGCCCTTAGGCGGGATCAGTGACGTCACGACAGTATTTAATATGGCGGACAGCATTTTACAGATTTGAGGCACAGACAAAAAATATTCTTATAATTAAAATATAAAATGAATGATGCAATTTTATAAATGGAAATCAATATTCGTCGTTTACTTTTTTATTACAAAGTCTATCCTAAATATTTTTTTCACATGGTGTAAAATACCCAATTGTGCCGGCAGCGTAGCCTCTTTGTTCAGTGCTTCAGAATTTTTGTTGGTTTTGTTTGAAATTATGAATGTAAGTATCTATATCTTTGTAATATAAACATATTATGTAAAACATACGAGAACCTACACCCAGAATGTAGTGTTAGTGGCGTAAGAGCATCACCTCATTTACTTCCATGGCTATCATAAAAATGACTACGGGATATTCCACAGAAATCTCATGGCTTCCGATAGTGCTAGTGGCGATAATAAGGTAATATTGGTTAGGAAATGTAATATTTCGTTTTTAACTTGGCGAAGTTACCATACTAGTGATGCCACGATGTGACGGTTACTTTGCCATGTTTTGCTATAACCAAGAGTTGTCACTCTCAACCTATATTTTTAACTGATTACGGCGATTCAAAAAATGGATTCAATACTTGATATTCTATGTATGTATGTTTGTATACATGTTTCACTGTGGCAGTTTATTAGAACGATTTAACACATGAGTTGTCAATCGATCCATCTTTATCAAAAGAAAAGGATAAGAGAAACCTATATTATGTTTAATATGTTGTCGGGTATTAATAACGTTATTACTATTCAGTGTTTTTCATATCTTCAAATTAGTGTGTTGCACTCAAATTGTAATTTGCACTCAAAAAACAGTGTCATTTTTAATGATTATGAATGTTTTGCTTTTGTAGGAAAACAATATTAATAATAATTAAATCTAGGTAGATTACATTTTTTTTAACTGATCGTAATAAAATGATAATGATGACTAAATAAAATAACGAATACTTGTTAAAAATGATTGTGACTAGCTTAATTTTTAGACTTCACTCTAACCTAAACGCCAACTCCACTACCACCTCGAGAAGGCAAGGCCGGCTCTGTTCTTTCTGACCGAGACGCAAGTGTCCTCTACGACCGACGTTTCGTATCTCTCCTACCCCGGGTACAAACTGGAACACTCCTTTGTGCCTCGGGCTGGAGTTTGCGTAAACGTTAGAGAGGACATCTGTTCTCGACGCCTTGGCAATCTTGAAGGTTCGGACCTGTCCACCCTTTGGCTACGTATAGACAGCGACGACCATCCGCGCGTCTACGGGTGCCTCTATAGGTCCCATAGCGGTAATGCCGAAAGAGACCGACTCGTCGACCGCGTCCAAATGGCTACAGATTCGTTGCTACAGCAGATCCCCTCCGCAGAGATCGTGATCCTCGGCGATTTTAACGCCCACCACGCCGAATGGCTATGTTCACGTTTAAAAGATCATGCGGGGAAATCTGTTCATGACTTTTCCTTGGCATATGGTCTGACACAACTGGTTACTTCGCCTGCGAGGATTCCAGATGTGGAGGATCATGCACCTTCCCTGTTGGATCTTCTGCTGACCTCTCATCCGGACGGATATCAGATTTCCTTCGACGCCCCTTTAGGCTTCTCGGACCATTGTCTAGTCCGGTGTGTGGTGCTACTCACGCTGAAATCGCGGTTGCATTCTGCAGACTGCCACCGTGTTTGACACTATAGGTCAGCCGATTAGGATAGGATACGGTCTTTCTTTGCATCCTACCTTTAGGGGCGGGTTTGCTTCTCGTAGGACGATCCCAACGTTGTTGCTGATTCTGTCGCTGATGTAGTACTTCAGGGTATGGAACTTTTTATTCCTTCCTCTGTGGTGCTCATCGGAGGCATATCTCAGCCATGGTTTAGTCGCTCCTGTAAAATAGCATCATGCTATAAGGTGGAGTGCTACCAGGTCTGGGCTGCCGCATCAACGTCCCGGGATTTAAACACCAGCGCTCTAAAAAGAAGTATAATTCCGCTTCCAGGTCCTTTAAAAGAGCTATAGCCAAGGCAAAGTCAGAGCACATAGGCAGAATTGGCGAGAAACTAGTTCGCCTTCCTTCTGGAACCCGTGCATTCAGGTCTCTCACCAAAACTGTCCAGGGGAATTTCTGTCAGCCATCTCTTCTCGCACAGAGAGGACGACTTACTGGCCCATGCCGCAACGGAGAACGCCGATCTGCTAGGCTCTTTCTTTGCGATCAACTCGACTCTCAATGACGGGGGGAATACGCCGCCGACCATCCCGTGGTGTGAGTGCTCCATGCCGGAAGTGCGGTTCACACAGCGCTCGTTTCGCAAAGCACTCCTCTCCCTGGACATCCACAAGTCGAGTGGGCCTGACAGAATCCCCCCCAATTGTGCTGAGGACGTATGCTCCAGAGTTGGCACCGGTTCTAACGCATCTCTTTCGGTACTCTTACTCCCTAGGGGTAGTCCCAAAATCATGGAAGACGGCTTTCGTCCAACCGATCCCTAAAAAAGTCGACTGCTCAGAGCCGTCCAACTACAGGCCTATCGCCATCACCTCCTAGTTCTCCAAAACACTGTCGCGGTAGAAGGCCGTCCCTCACGCAGATCATCGGTGAGATTAGTGCAACCACGTTTATACTCATTAAACCAGTTGTAAACAGTGGAACGAGATGGGACTTCATCGTGAAAGACCAATCGAAGTCTATCATAATTTTCTATGTTGACTTAAATGACATTGAAAGTCATAAAAAATCATTGTACGAAAATTTTCTCGCGTTAAATTCATGCTGACGTGTCACAGACAATTTCCAATTTGCCGCCAAATCGTAAACAATTAATAAAATACCATTGACTAGAGAAGAAAGAAAGGACATGCCATAAAGATCTTTAGTTGTAGGAATGTAACGAAATATCGGCGTCTCTTTTTAGCTTACGAGTATATTCGTATGTAAAAAAGGACAACAGTAAATTTATCATTACCGAATATAGCAACAATTTTTTCGCTGCGGCCGGGAGCCATGTTTTGTCACAGTCAATGATAACTATATTAGTTGTCATTGCGACTTTAGTGAGGTGAGTCTGTTATTTTCATATGTTTGTCTCGTGGAATTCGATTATTACGAAATTTCTTATTCTATTCCTAGGGATGTAAATCGGGACAAAAAGTATCCTATATGTTAATTCATCTAAAAAATATTTGTGTGCCAAATTATTACATTCCAACTGGTCTGATACTTTTGGCGTGATTGAGGAACGAACAAACATTTAAACTTTTGCATTTATTATAGTTTGATTAGTGTGAATATGATGACTGAGCCTAATTTATTGTCTAACAAACAAACAAAACTTCTATAATTAGTATTTCTTGTTTAGTAATTCCCGCGAAATAATTGTAATATTAACAATAGATTTCTAATGTAACTAATATTAGAAAAACAAAAAAAAAAAAACAACGACTGCCTAAAAATAGTGAACTGAAAACATAGGTTATAACTTATAATATATTTCAGTAATCTCCTTTTAATTTTCTTTATTGTGATGCCCCTTTCGATAGGTTGAGTAAAAAAAAATTAAGGACTTATAATTTGGCGCCAAAAATCCGTCATATTGATTGAAAAAGAAACCTATCGTGTGTTCTTTACATGAGTGTTTGAGACGAATCACACGAAAGAATCTTTTTCTAAATAAGCGCCACATTATCGAAATTAAGTATAGTGCGCAGCACTACGTCAAAACGCCATCTTTGTGCCAGACTCAATTTAGGAATACACGTTTTTTCGTAGGTATGTCATATCCTTTCTTTTTTCTCTAGTCAAAGTAAAATACATACACAATAATATTGGGCGAGTTCCATTTTCAAAATTTGAACTTATTTTTTGTTAACTTGTTTTGTAACTCCTAATTGTACACATATACGAAGTGAAACTTCTTTACGACATATGGTTCTTCTTTTGTTTTATATTTTACATACTCGTAAGTAGGTAAAATATGGCTTGAGTAAAAAAAACATTACAAGAAGTACTTGAAAAATTAAGTAAAGTACGAAATTAAGGATTTTTGACAGCCGTGATACATGTTTTTAAATTTGTATGAATTTTTTTATTATGTGTGAGCAACTACGCCACTAGCATAAACTTTGTTACCTGCAATACAATAAGAGGACCAAATCATAACTGAGTACCAAAAGTCAAATTTTTGTCTCTAAAACTCGCACCCTATTGAGAACAGAACTAAAATAGCTGAGAAACTGAGGCAACTTTGTTTTTTATTCCATTGAGAACATATTAACCAGTTATGAAACCATCGTCGTCACCGTGTAGTGGCGGTGTAAGAATATCCATTACCCTTCATCATCCCGTGGGTGTCCTAAGAGGCTGCAGAGGGAAACTGTATTAGGTATATTACGTGGTAAACTTACCATCATCTTATAAGTTAAATGCTAGTTATTTTCATTAAAAACCCCGATGGTGAAGTTGCTACAAAGTAAGGTTAACTTTGACATTTTCTATTTTTGAGTATTTTGTATACTTTATGTTAGTATTTTTTAAATCACTAATAAATACCAAATCTATGTAGAATATAGTGTTGTATTTATCATGAGGCCTAGTCTGAACCCTTTTATGTTAGAAAATTGGTCTTAAATTTTTAAGTCCTTTCAAAACTGGTAAAGCGGCTAGGTCACTATATTAAAAATGAACATATTTATTTATTTATTTATTTGCATAAAACATGGACAGATAAGGATGGTACAATTCTTAAAGCACAACATGTTTGCTATGTGATTGTGATAGCATGCAAATTTACATAAATAGCACATATACAAATGAAATTTTCTAATCATAATACAAAACAATTCATTAAAAAATATATATCATTTACATTTAACAAATAGTTCTCTGATGTCATAGAATTGATTTGCATTGAGATAAGTCAATATTTTTTTTTTAAATATATTATTATTATTATTCGACTTGATTTCATTTGGTATTTTATTATAGATTCGAATACACATGGTTAAACAGCTTTTACTATATTTGTTTGATCGCGGTACATCATCTAATACAAGTATATTTGCATTTCTTTTTAGTCTTATATACATATCACATGCCTTTGTAAACAGATTATTATGTTTATGTACGAAATTACAAACTTCGTAGATATACAGAGATGGTAGTGGCAACAAACCTAGGCTCCTAAATATTGGTTTGCAGGATTTATCCGGTGCGATTCCAGCAAGAGCTCTAATGCATTTCTTTTGCGCAGTAAATAATCTCTGTTTATCTGTACCATTGCCCCATATTACAACACCATAACGTAGTAAAGATTCTATGTAAGCGTGATACGTTAGAACAGCAGTTTTTTTGTCTGTAACATTTTTTACTTTATTAAGTACATAAACAAATTGGTTAATTCTACCGCATAGTTGATGTATGTGACCTCTCCAGCTTAAATCTTGATCGATTATTACTCCTAGGAATTTAGTTTGTTTTACTTCGTTTAATTTGTCGATATTAAGATTAAAATTGTATTTTGTGTGTTTTGATTTATTAAATTGAATATAAGTTGATTTATTAAGATTAATTTTTAAATTGTTTTTGTCTAGCCATTTAATAATTGTATCAATTGTGTTGTTAATGTCGATTTCATGATTACGTATTGAATTATTTTGCTTCTTATTAGTGCTTACACATACATAATGAAAAACACACATAATGGCGCCATAATGTGACAGTACTCGGATGACCGAGCTTTGCTCGGTTTTTTTTGAAATTACATTTATAAATTACATACTGATGAAACATAAATAATATTTTTTGATCTTATTGACAGAATAGAAAAAAACTGAACTGGTTATTTGAATAAAAAATCATGAGTGCAATTATTTTTATTAAAATTTTCTTATTTTTAAAAAATACTAAAAAAAATGGCTTGAAATAATAGATTTTGTCACAAAAGAAGGGAACTTGAAAAAAAAAAGGAAAAAAGCCGGACGTTCGTTAGTGATCTCTTAAAATTTACCTTCTTATATTGTATCAGTTTTTTTTATTGCCTGAAAACACGGACAAAAGGACATTTTCTAAAAATAAATCTTAGCTAGATCGATTTATTGCCCCCGAAACTCCCTGGACACTAAATTTTATGAAAATCGTTGGAGCCGTTTCCGAGATTCCGATTATATATACAATATGTAACGTAATTAACGCACACCCTCAGACACCCCAATTAGTATATTATGTTATAATCATAATACATACACTGAATTTTTAGTAAATTTTTATGCACTGATTATTTATAAAATTAGTTATACTAATTCCGGAAGAATGTTGTGGTCACAGTACAAATCCATGAACGCAAAGACTTTAAAGTGCTTGAAATAAAGTTCATTTTTCTTTATTTTTATTGAATGACAGAATTAGTAATAATACATACAAATAAAACTGCACTCTTAAAAGTCTTATTGCCTTAAGTTACGGTCCATTTCAGTTGGTTTTGACTGTATAGATTTAGTGTGACTGTAATTTACGTAGTTTAAATTATTTTTGGGATAAAAAATTACCTATATTAAAAATGATAGGAATCGATTCAGTAAATGATTCTGAACAAACTACTTTCTCAAAGTGCGTTAATTATGTTACATGTTATATTTATATATATATATACAAGAATTGCTCGTTTAAAGGTATAGGATAGGTAGGGTGTAAGTAAGTAGATAGTAAGGTAGGGTGAGCAAAACAGATATTTTTGAAATAGTGTTTATTTATAAATAAATGTAATGCGTGTAAATGCAAAAGAATCACGAAAGACAAAGTTTTAATCGGAATCTAACACTTAAATTTTAACTTTACTTCACAAAAATACACATTTTATGGCGATAAATCAAAAATGCGCGGCGTCGCGCTGTGCCTCGAAATGCCTCGCGGCGTACCACGATGCAGCAATGTTTCGTCGTTAGGCACAACGTGCAAGAGCGGTACGGTGCCAGTTACTTCACAATCACTTCTTCGCGGGTCGAAACAACTGGCCTCTTCAAGCACCGTCGCGTCACGTCGCGTCTCGGTGTGAACTGACGCCTCGGCTGTCAAATTGGCTTTCTAACTTTTACATTGACAAGGGGGCGTCATCTATGCTTTTTGGCGATGTGTTGCCAATAATGAAAATAGAAAAAAAAATTATTTTTAAATTATTTTTAAAACGAATTATGACTAATAAATTTGATAATACTCAGTTAAATAAATGTAAAAGTCGAAAATTAATAAACTTTGCAAGCCGTACTTTTCAAGTGACAGTTGAAAGATCGCGGCCACTCGAGATCATTGACGTTCGTATTCTTATTTGAATCGCATTGTATGGCGTTTTAGGTTTAATCACTTCTGTTTTGGAAATTATAATATAACGAGCCCCGTGGACATTCGTAGAATAAAGTTGATAGCGAAGTATTGAAAGCTGTTTGTGAATTAATCTCAAATGTCGTGGAAGGTATGAAAAGCATTCAAATAAATTGTTATCTTCACTTTCTCTGTGTCGGACAATGTAACATGTAATATATATACAGCATGTAATGAACTAATATAGTTTTTGTGCAAGTGACTATTATTTTAATTCAGCATTTTTTTACAACTACTTGATTTATATATATTTACAATTTGTAGCCTACCAGCAGAAATCATCGCAACGCCGCCCTCAAACAAGAAAGTTCCCGAATGCCAGTTGAAAATGGACACCTCCCAGGATTTCTTCTTAGAGCGCATCAGTCGAGTGGACACAGAAGGCTGGGAGCCTGTGTTAAGCCTAATGCATCAATTCGCCGAAATATTCGCCTATTTTGACTACGTTAATTTGGGAGCGAAGATTGCTAAATATGTAGAGACTGTAAGTATTTTCGACGTTTATTGCGTGTTGACCATCATTCCCTTTTGCAGGCTATATATATATATATATATATATATATATATATATATATATATATATATTATCAGTTAACAACTAAAACACGCTCACAATATAAAATATCTGATTGTATGTATATTTCATATTTTATAGACCACTTGACGGTCAGTGGGTGCTGTATGGTGGGCATAGACACCACAGAAATTGTAATAATAAGACAATAGAAGTGGTGTGGACGCCTGACCTTGTTGCCGCTATGATGTGTTGACAAACATCATTCAACATTTTGTGATTAAGTTGCGCGGGGAATGTCGTACGTGAATTTATGTTATTATAATGGTGAACTGCACCATAACCAGTAGTAAATTAGATGAATATTTTACAGTGATATTTACCTTTGTAAACTTACTTTTCGTATTGTACAATTACCATTGCTGCTGTTGTTCTACCGTAATACACACCAAGTACGTACAACTCGCCAAGCAATGTAATCTGAAACATTAGATAGCATTGTGCATTGCGTATGTTTTATAATACGGCTGCAGGCATCGGTCGCACAATGCGTATGTGTTAAAATGTGGCGACATCAGTATTGGAATTAATTGAACGCTAATTCATTTCTATTGTCTTATTATTATTATTTCTGTGATAGATACCTATATCTATTGCAGACGCGCTGTCTATCCTGAGGATCAAGTTGTTTTTTTTTTTCAAATTTATATGGGACCAATTTCGGTGTAGAACCTATCCAATAAAAAAGATTTATCAAATTCGAACTACTCTGTAATAAATCACCCTTATATTCCCACCCTTAGGGTAATTTTTTTCCAAATTTTAATGAGACCAATCGAGATATACCCTATAAAAAAGAACTATTAAAATCTGACTACTCTGTAATACATCACCCCTATTTTCCCACCCTTAGTGTAATTTTTTTTCCAAATTTATATGGGACGAATTTCGAGGTAGCCTATCCATTATAAAAATAACTATTAAATCGGACTACTCTGTAATAAGTTATGCGTGGTCCTACATAAAAAAAATATACGCGTCGACTTGAGAACCTTCTCCGTTTTTTCGTCCGTTGATAAACAAGCGAGATTAGAATGTCTCTCCAGCACCTTAAAAACGGCAGGCGAGGATGAAATTACAGTGGAGCTTCTGAAAGCGGGTGGAACATCGGTACTTAAAGTCCTTCAGAAGCACTTCAATTCTATTCTCCATGGTGGCACTACTCCGAAAGCGTTGAACAGAAGTGCGGTGGTCTTGTTCTTCAAGAAAGACGACAACGCTCTCTTGAAGAACTGCAGACCGATTTCCCTTCCGAGCCGCGTCTACGTGCTGTTTTCGAGAGTCATTACGAATCGTCTTGCTCGCAGACTCAAAAACTTCCAGCGTCCCGAACAAGCCAGTTTCCGAAAAAGCTTCAGTACCATAGACCACATATATACCCTGCGGCAGATTGTACAGAAGACAATCTGCCACTTTGCCTGGCGTATGTGGAGTATGAGAAAGCCTATGATTCCGTCGAAATTTGGGCGGTGCTACAGTCTCTTCAGCGGTGCCAAGTTGACTGTCAGTACATCGAAGTGCTAAAGTGTTTATACAGTAGGGCTACGATGGCTACATGAGTACAGAACCAGAGTACGAAATCTATCCAACTGCAGAGAGGTGTAAGACAGGGTGACATTATATCCCCGAAACTCTTAACCGCGGCATTGGGAGACGTTTTCAAGCTACTGGACTGGAAAGGATACAGTATTAACATCAATGGCGAATACATCACTCGCCTTCGATTTGCCGACGATATACGACGATATAGTCCTAATGATAGAATCGCTGGAGGACCTAAGTACTGTGCTCAATGACCACAATAGTGTCTCTCAACGGATAGGTTAAGATGAACATGGACAAAACAAAGATCATTTTTAATGTCCACGTCACACCTACGCCGGTAGTTGTTGGGAGCTAAGCTCGAAGTTTTTGACGAATACGTTTACCTGGGACAAATAGTCCAAATAGGTAAGTCCAACTTCGACCGAGAGGTCAATCGACGGGTTCAACTCGGCTGGGCAGCGATCGGGAAATTCCGACACATCAGTATACCTCAAAACCTGAAAACTAGATCGTACAACCAGTGCGTGTTGCCAGTGATGATTTATGGATCTGAGACGTGGTCCATCACTGCTGGCCGTATGAGAACGCTCAAGGATGTTCAGCGAGCTATGGAAAGGGCTATACTCGGAGTTTCTCTGCGTGATAAACTTAGAAATGAGAATATCCGCAGTAGAAGGGCTATACTCGGAGTTTCTCTGCGTGATAAACTTAGAAATGAGATTATCCGCAGTAGAACCAGAGTGATTAACATAGCCCAACGGATTAGTAAGCTGAAGTGGCAATGTGCCGGTCATATAGCTCGAAGAACCGACAACCGATGGGGAAAAGAGGTTCTCGAGTGGCCTCTTACCGGTAGGTGTAGTGTACGGCGACTCCCTACTAGATGGAATGACGACCTGGTAAGACATGCAGGAAGTCTATGGATGCAGTTGGCTCAGGACCGTGCTTTGTGGTATTCCGTGGGGGAGGCCTATGTTCAGCAGTGGACTTGTGAAGGGCTGTAATGATGATGATGATAAACAATAAGGGGTGTAAGTAAGATGGTAATACCTACACAGATGAACTCCCAGGCAGAAATGGAGTCCTACCACTTACTTCATACACATATTTCAAAAATTGTTAACAGAAAGTCGCAGAAAGGAAAGCTGTTCTTAAATGTGTGGTATGCTAATATGTAATTAAGGGTTAATAACTAAAACCAAACAACGATAGGAATCGTACTAAAAAGGTTATTCGAAGTTGAGTAAGACTGCATCCAAGGCATACTTTTGCCAGTTAGGGACATGTCGTTAAGATGTTATCAATATTGTCAATCTCTACAAAAATGTGGTAAAAATTAGCATTATTTCACGTATTTGTAAATATTTTAAATTTGCTTTCTTTGCATTCAGGTCATTAACAATATAAAATGTGAGAGTTTCTTTCGTCCATTTGTGTACAAATCGTTTATACCTGCTGTTGAACTATAATGGGGGTTTCTTTTCTGAGGTGAGTTATATGTAAGCACTGCACACGTAGTCATAATTGATTACGTCTATTAAAGACTAATATTCACCTTAAAATCGAGTTTTTCCAAATACACGCGAGATTTGTTTTGTTTACAAATGACGCGATACAGGCTGATAGTGTGTATGTAAATGGTTTTTCTCGCTCTAACATACGCGTACACAATGCTCTTTCTATTTTGCATTGCCAAGTTATTCTAACGCTATTTGTAATAAATCTAGAGTGTGCTCTATGTATTAACAGTAAAGGGATTAGGAAGTAGATGATGTAGTTTATGATTAAGATTTGTTGCAGAAGCCACGGTCGTGGGTGGGCGCGCTGAGCGCGGGCTGGTGGTGCGGTGCGGGCGGGCGCGGCGCGTGTGCGGCGCGCTGCCTGGCCGTCGCGCACGCGTACGCGCCGCCGCACTACGCCATGCACGCACTGCGCGCGCTCGCTGCACTGCTGCACTCGTACGTACCGCACGCACACACACACACACACACACACACACACACACACACACACACACACACACACACACACACACACACACAAAGGTGTGTACTGCTGCACAGATACTTACCCGCAAACACACACACACACACACACACACACACACACACACACACACACACAACACACACACACACACACACACACACACACACACACACACACACACACAAATATATTATAACACCTACTTTCGCATCGATTCACAAGGTATGACTTACAAACTTACTAACTTACTGATTTAAAAACTTGTACGCACCTGGTGTCGCGTTGATTCTTCAATCTCCATGTGTACTCGCACAGCATACGCGCTTGCGTCAGGCCAGGCCCACTCCGCAATTTACGAGCCAATTCAGAGGGTTGCCGCGCGCCGACCGGTTCGCATTAAAAGAAGACATTCTTATCTTAGTATCGATAAATTTTTTCCTTCACCACACAATTGATGACATACTCTAAATTTTGACCATTATTAATATTTTATTACTATATTATTAATATTTATAAATTTCACTTAAAACTTCGTAATTTAACAAGGAAGCTTAAATAATTTTAATCTTGTTGCAGTTTAAGTTAAGCCGAAAATAAAATTTCAATAATATCACAATTATTTAAATATTAGGAAATTAAACCATATAACAAAAAATTATGAATTCGTAAAAGACATGCAATAAGGAAATTGATATAAAATTTAAAAACATGAATTTATTTGCTTTTGAAATCGTGTACTGAATTTTGTGTAAAATTATTTTTTCGTTACTGTTAACAACGGCAGTTTTTGTTACGAACTTACAAGTATTAGATGAAAATAAATATGTTTATTTTCTGCGACAAAAGAAATTAAAATAATATTTATTAAGTTTTTTTTTAAATATGCTACATACTAAAATTATTTGTTCAAAAGTAGAGTAATTAATTATAAAAAAAAAACTCAAAAGTAGAGACACAAACTGGTAATAGAATAAGCAGATTAATTATTCTTAAAAAAAGACAACCCTTATCTACTTAATCAGAAAAGATAACAGTAAAGGCGGCTACTCACGTGTCGTCTGCCCCAGGATCAATCTAGGGTGTAGGAGTGGGGATAATACCCTTGATTGCCTCCTTTATTTTTTTTTCAAAACTTTCGAAATTCGAAAGCACCAGCATTTAAGGCCCAGCGGCGAATCTGGCGAGAGCGGTGCATCATAACACCGACACTGTTATTCCCTTGCGACCTTACCACCGCCGTATCAGCTGTACGGTTTCGTCAGAGTCGCAGAGGATAAGGCAAGCGGCGCCTCGCCATACCAGTACTCCTCTTCTCCTGCGACTCCACCGTACTGTTGGTAGGTGTCAATAAGAAGAAGACATGTTGTTCCTTTTATGACTTTAATTAGACTACCCTACACTAATATATTGTATTATCTTGGGGCTTCACTACATCACTTCGGCTGCCACGGGTACCCTTTATCCCGGTGCAGTCCACCGACACTTATCCATAGTGGGCCCACTCGGAGCGGCCTCCTCAATGCAGCCCATCGTCTCAGGCCAGCCGTATGGATTTCTCTGAGTAACCATATATACTGTTTCTTTCCGTTTCTAAAATGGATAGTCGGAGCTTATTTTATAATAATTAGTTTTTGTTAATGTTCCACATTGATTTTAAATATTCACTATTTTTATTATTTTATATATTTATGAAACTGCCGAACATTGACCTCTCCCGAATCGTTTAGTTAACGTAACTAACACGACGATCAGGTGCTTAAGCATTAAAGTAATTGTTTTGCAGTTAGGGCATCGGCTTGTACGTATTAGTTTGGAATATAAATAAGATGTTAGGGAGTCTATTACTTCATTTCATCCCATAGGTGCTGTACTCTACAGTATGCAGTATTGTGAAGTACAACACCTAACACCTATACTAATTTTGTTTAGTATGTTATGTGTGAATGTAACATTTTTCTCTTTTTTTTTTCAGGCAATCGAAACAACAGGACGCTAAAGAAATCGCATACCTCGCTTTCTATTTGATGCCAAAGAGCAAAGTTGAAGCATTACTGGTGGCGGTTTCACATACATGCCTCGTAAGCACTGACTGAATTTGTATAATTATTTAGTTATTACGTTTTTGAAACAGATCTGCTTATAGCCAGTTTAAATGCGGGTTATACTTTCAACTTGGGTCTGATAAGATTTCACTTTTGTAATCCTTTGTCAGCGTCACTATATTTTGATTGGTACTCGGCCGCCCTTGGAGAGGCAGGTGGGGTATTTGGGACTACCGGCGACTGTTGGCCTAAGCGTTAGCGGGAGGTTACTGGCTTTCCGTACAAACCGGCGTTACACTGTTAATTTAGACCGATCCTAAGGTTTTTATAACTCTCATAACCTAAGCGGAGCTAATATACCTAGTCGGTCAGGTGGAGCCCTCACTAAGATTTCTCCTGACTCGAAGAGCTCGATCATGTATTATTAATAGCTGCATTCGAGCTCACATTCTAATAAGCGTTAAATTAAGTACGGATTGCTGAGCTAAGCTAGATTAACCGGTTAAGCCGCCAGCTACTTGGCTAACTTTTTAGGAGGCTTAACCGGCTAAATTGTACAGTCTAAGTATAAACCAAAAACTTCTATATATACTACTAGACGGACCCCACGGTACTAATACATTGCGCGTTAAGTTACGGTCGATTCTCTGTAATTCTTTAGACCACTGCTAGCGGGCGAGTAGACTACTTTTTGTTTTGTATAACGCGAACGTTATTTTCGACAGTCTAACACTGATTTTGTTTAATATGACTAAGAAAACCACACTTTGTCAACGTCATTTTAAGTTTATTTTACATAAGTAACTTTATTTCGTAAAACACTAACTGTCTTAAATGAAAATAAACTGCCTGGCATATTTACCATGTCAGCTATCCATTTAGCCGGCGCCTTCGCCTGAACCTGTTGCGAGCAGTAACACAGTTTTGTTCTGAATTGCCAGTCTGTATGGCAGAAATTTTATTTTAGTAGTAAATGATACGACTTAGGCACCTTCAAGAAAATAGCCTTATCTTTTTTAAAAGGTCGGCAACGCATCTGCAATTTCCCTAGTTCATGGGCGGTGGTAATCACTCACCATCAGGTGAGCCGTACAGTAGTTTGCCCCCTCTCCTCTAAAAAAATGTGATAAATATCGTCAGTTATTATCAATATTATTATACTTACAGGCGGAGTACGAGCAAGCTGTTTGGATGTACCGCTACGCTCTCACATTCGACGATCAGTTCCTTCCTGCAAAAGCTTGTCTCCACGCCGCGATGTGCTTGATGTTCTACGGAGATAATGCCAAAGGACAGGCTTTGGAGGAATAATTAGCTTTTTACGCTTTCGGTGCATTCTTTAATAACGATGCGTTGCTTTTCAAAATTTAAAATATAATTTGATATCTCCAAGGAAACCTACAGATGTCCTACGGATCAAGCGGAAAATGGGTTAAATTTTGTGATGAACAAGCTCTGTTATTATTATGTTTTTCATGTGTCGAATTTGAGTGTAACCGTCAAAGTGTCTAGTCCTATTATATTTTGATAAGCAATTTGCCATTAAATATAATTAGCTTTGACGGGAAATTGTGACATTCCTAAATGCCTACGGTTTTAAATACTTACTGTCCACGGTTGATGTTGTGTAACTTAAATCATATAGTCAATAATAACAATCAATTTCGTACCTATTCTAATTACGGTATATCTAGTATAACTTTGTCCAAAAGGATCATTTTCAATTCATCAATATTATACGAAGACCTTTGCCCCTTCTAGAAATAAAACCAGTTAGACCAATTGATGTGATAGTGTTTATGAGAACAACGCAATCTCACTAGTGTATAAAATAATGAATAAAATAAAGGATTAAAACAAAATCGAAAATATGTTTCAATCTATCTATATAAAACGCAAAAATGTTTCTACTTATCTTCGTTATAGACTGAAAACCATCCATCATTTTGATGAAATATTTTGTGCGTTTGAATGGGTCCCTAGATGGTTTATATTCACACCTAGACCCAATAGATGGCGCTGTTGTCGAGATCCAGCAATCACCCGTGCGTCGCTAGTAGGTGGTTGCTAGTATTAAATCCTATACCTTTAAACGAGCAATTCTTGTATATATATAATAATCGGAATCTCGGAAACGGCTCCAACGATTTTCATAAAATTTAGTGTCCAGGGGTTTTCGGGGGCAATAAATCGATCTAGCTAGGATTCATTTTTAGAAAATGTCCTTTTGTCCGTGTTTTCAGGCAGTGAAAAACTGCTACAATATAATGTTACGCGCCTAAGTTGACGTCATGTACCCGGGACTAGCCCCATCTAGTGTCGGGGACGAAAGCGAGGGGAGCTTTCCCGAAAACAATTTTTATTGTCACGAACCTCAAGCTCGTAACAATAAGAAGGTAAATTTTGACAGCGTAATAGCTTAAGTGGGATATACTACTTTTTTCAAGTTCCCTTCTTTTGTGAAGAAACCTATTATTTCAAGCCATTTTTGTAGTATTTTTTTAAAAATACGAAAATTTAAATTAAACTAATTGCACACATGATTTTTTATTCAAATAACCAGTTCAGTTTTTTCTATTATGTCAATAAGATCAAAAAATATTATTCATGTTTCATCAGTATGTAATTTGTATCCATACTTAATATTATAAATGCGAAAGTGTGTTTGTTTGTTTGTTTGTCCTTCTTTCACGTCGCAACAGAGCGTCGGCATGGCATGAATTTTGGTATGGGGATAGTTCGGTGGCTGTAGAGTGACATAGGCTACTTTTTTCTGTGGAAAAACATTTCATTCCCGTGGGAAAATCGAATATGTTGCAAAAATAAATTCAGCTAGGTGGCGCCACCGTCTTTCTACAAGACGGACGACGGTACGATGGACGAACACAGAAGGTCAGAATATCTGGATTATTATGTCTTTTTACCTAAATTATCTAGAATGTTCTAGTAAGCGGCTAGCTGCCGTCAAGGGTGTAGTAGGGGATAGATCCATCTTGGTATTTTCTGTTTATATGCCGACTAAGTCGGATAAAAACTTACCTATTTTTACAGAAATACTAAGTGAAATAAGTGTAATTGAAGCTAGTAACAACGTGGAGAATATGACCCCCACCTTGAAACCAAGCGGCACCTTTGGGCCCCCTTCCCCATAATTTGAGAAAAAAAAAAAAAAAAAAATAAAAAAAAGAAAATAAATTAAAAAAAAGATATAATAAAATTTATGGTTTAATAAAAAAAAAAAAAAAAAAAATAAAAGATATAAAATTTATTTTTTATAATAATTTTATTACAAAAATAAAAAAATATAAAAAAAAAAAAAAAAAAAATATATATTAGGAGATTATAACGCACATCCCGAAGAACTTTTCTACACCGAACTAAGTCGTTTCTGTACGGATCAGTCTTGGGTATGTGCAGATGTACAAATGCTAGGGTCAAATACGTATACCTTTCTAGACCAGTGTCATGGTGGTACGAGGTGGCTAGACCACTGTGTGGTCTCCTTATCAGCCTAGCATACCGTCACTGATGTAGGTATAGTTGACCACTGATGTGGACCATCTGCCTATCTACTTAGAGTGTAGTTTAGAGAATGTAAGCCCTAAACGGGTGATGCGTGACATGCAACGCAGTGCGGTTTCGTGGGGAGAAATAAGTGAGTCTCAGATAAGAAAGTACCAAGAGTTATGTCGTAAAGAGCTACGAGACATTGATTTTCCTCCCGAATTCGCTAGTTACAGTCACGGGTCACGCGATAACGCCTGTCATAAAAGTTTGGTCGACAATTTCTATGAACAAATTGTAAGTACACTTAAAATGGCGGCTATTAAAACAAATTACGTAAAAATTGATAAGCTTCGTAGAAAAAAGATCCTGTGTGGGTGGAATAAAAATGTGAGGGATGCTCATCGGGAGGCCAGGCTTAAATTTCAAATTTATATAATAGACCCGCTGTAGGCGAAATACATGAGCAGATGCGCGAGTCACGCAAGGTTTTTAAAAGTAGACTCAAATGGTGCATAAATAACCAAGAGCAAATCAAAATGGATAAAATAGCGAAACTTATTATTAATTTTATCCTCTACTTTTTTGTTTTTAAATTTCTTGTGTTTTTATTTCTTTTATTTACGTTATGTAATCTGAAGTGTCGGAATAAATGTCTTTATGTCTAAACTGCGAGCGGATAAAAATTTTGGGAAATTTTGGTCCACTAGTAAACTGGAGATTAAGCCTGGCCTGCCGGCCAGAGTAGGTGGGATTAGTGACCCGGAGGGAATTGCAAACCTGTTTATGGAACATTTCAGGGTACGATCGCCGCTGGGCCCCTCCACGGGGATTCCTGGTCCTGAGCCTGGCGTGCGGGTGGATGAGCCTTTGCTATTGTTTTCGGCTAGTCAAGTCAGAGATGTAATCAAGCGGATGAGCAATGGCAAATCTCCCGGACACGACGGGCTCAGTATCGAGCACCTAAAACATGCGGGTGCACACCTGCCAAGGGTCCTGTCTCTATTGTTTAATATGTGCACTGGACATTCATATCTACCACCGGATATAATGAAAACCATTGTGGTGCCAATTGTCAAAAACAGGGTAGGTGATATCTCGGATAAGGGCAACTACCGCCTTATTTCTCTTGCTACCACGGTGGCCAAAGTATGCTTGATTCATGCTTGCAAAAGTATCTGAAGTTACATGACGCGCAGTTCGGGTTTAGGCCCGGACTATCCACTGAAAGCGCAATGCTAAGCCTAAAGCACATTGTCAAATATTATACAAGCCGGAGGACGCCGGTGTACGCCTGCTTTCTAGATCTCTCCAAAGATTGATCTGGTTTCGTATGATGTGCTTTGGAGGAAGATGGAGGACAGGGGTGTTCCGGTGGAGGTGCTAAATCTCTTATTCGATATTGGTACACAAAGCAGGTAAATTACGTTAAATGGGCTGACCAATTGTCCAAGTCGTACAGGTTGAAGTGCGGAGTAAGGAAAGGTGGGCTGTCGTCACCAAAGTTGTTCAACCTGTACGTAAATGACCTCATAGTGGAGCTCAGCAGCATGCGAGTCGGATGCAAAGTGAGTGGTGTTAATGTAAACAATATTTGTTACGCGGATGACATGGTGCTGCTGGGCCCCAGTACGAGTGCTATTAGAGAAATGTTGAACGTATGTGAGAGCTTTGCTAAGTCGCATGGTCTGGCCTACAATGCCAGAAAAACCGAATTTATGGTCTTTAATAGCTTGCTACATATTTATTTATCTATGGTCTTTAAGGCCGCCGGTAAGTGTCACGAATTTATACCTCCAATTTGCCTCGGTGGAGTGGAGCTGAACAGAGTTTTCCAATTTAAGTACCTGGGCCACATACTTACCGACGACCTTAGAGACGATTTAGACATAGAACAGGAGCGTAGGGCTTTGGCGATCCGTGGTAACATGCTGGTCCGTAGATTCGCTCGTTGGACGGAACGGAACGGAAACGTCGTACGGATGAAGTCAAGATTACGATTTTTAAAGCATTTTGTCAAAACATGTACACGAGCGGTCTGTTGATCAGCTACACCAAAGGGTCGTTAAACACCCTTCGCGTCCAATATAATAATATCTTTAGGATGATGTTGAAAGTTCCTCGTTTCTGTAGTGCATCTGAAATGTTTGCGCAGGCGAGAACGGATGGTTTTCAGGCACTCATGCGCAAGAAAGTGGCGCCACTAATAAGCCGTTTACGGGGAAGTGACAACAGCATCCTGAGGACGGTAGCAGATGATCCACATGCACCTATATTAAGGAGCTATATGCGGACAATGTCTGGATTCGTAAATTATTTAAATTAAATTATTATTATAATATGGTACTACTAACCCCCTTACTATTAGAATTAATTACTAACCCTTATGGACCTATGTTGTCTGAAAATAAAAAGATTTGATTTGATTTGAAAAACGTTGTTATATTCTGAAGTCCCCCGCCGTTATACTTGGAACACATCTACGAAGGAGTGGAAACGCCGTATTCAAGGCGCGCCTGTTGCAAATTGGCCCGGTGTAAAGTCATCAGATGCCCTTGGTCGTGTGTGTACCGTCTATGTAACTAATTTTGAATGTTTCTGTTTACGATTGCTGCTGCACCATGTTCGGGGTCCTACAGGATATGAAGACCTTAAAATTGTCAACGGCCAGGAATGCGCAACTTATAGAGAAGCATGTGAAGCTCTGCATCTTTTAGAAAACGATAATCACTGGGATGAAACCATGGAGGAAGCTGTGCAGTGCCAGTCACCAGCCAAAATTAGGGATCTTTATGCAACTCTCATAT